CTGCTCTGGTGAAAAGCAGATGATCAGTGAGCAAAGCAGTGCTCACTGAAGCCCTCACTGTGCTCTGCTGGGTGAGTTTTGGTCTGCGAGAGGTGTTTGCAAGGTGGGATTCTCTGGACTGAGTTGTAAAAAACAAAAAACAAAAAACAAAAGGAGCATTTCATTGAATCGTGCCTCTGAAGGAGAAGCTGCAGGTGTCACAGCTTTACATCCTCAGACATCCCTTTTTTAAGAAATGCAAGCAACAGGTCTGAAGCATCCGTTCTCTCTAATGTTTTCCGCAGGAGGCAGAAGGACTGAGCTGTTACACAGCAGGGCTGCTCTCACTCAGGGATTGCAGCATGCTGGCTGCAGCTGCTCCCTTGCGTGATGAGGAGCACACCATGGGCTCAGCGCAGGAGGGACCCAGAGGCTGTTCTCAGCTCTGTCAGCACTCACTGCATGACCCTGTTCAGGTGTCACTTCCCTGCCTCTCCCTCACTTCTGGAGGGTTTTTCTTTCTCCACTTTTTGTTAGGGTAAGAGTGAGGCTTGCTCATGTGTGAGTGTTTTTAGATCCCTCCATGGACTTGGTCCAAAACCAAGTGAGGACTGTTTGACAGTCAGTAGGGTTAAGAAAACTTTTTTCTGTAAGAACTGCTTCTGATTTTACTGCTAGCTGTACTGAAAAGCTGATGCTTAACATTTCAAGTGGGAAAGATTGTCAGTATTCAGTCATGCAACCTATGAAGTTTTAGGCTTTAAGGAGTGATTTTCCCATTTGGTTTCTGTGAGTGGAGGTTGCTACAGGCTTACAGGTTTGCTTCGTCTTGCCAGCATGGGATGCATCACTTCATTAAAGCTAATGACCTTGCATCATGCTGATGCCATTGATCTTGCATTTCATTATTTTGATGCACCAAAGCTCGGCCAGGCTGTATCAGGGTAGCTGTGGTCAATGGTAGAGGTTACCTACCAAAAATAAAGGTAACTTGGTACCAATCAAAGTGTTTAAATGAAATCAACTGTGAGCTGACAATATTCAAAATGCATTCTGAATTCTTTTTAAAAGGAAATGAAAGCATGCACAGTTCCTCTGCCCATAGGAAAGGCACCGAACGGTATTCACGCTGAAGCTCCCAGCCGCTGCCGCAGTGTCAGTGCTCCTCTGGGCCAGGGAGAGAACAGCCTCTGCACACCTGGAGCTGCCAGTTCTGCATGCAAATATTAGGAAGTAGTTTCTTTTTGCTGCAGGTATGAATATTTGCTTGCTAAATGCTGGGTATTAGCTCTAAGACTGATACCCTGCATTCAGTAGCTCTCTATCCTGTCACTATTCAGATTGGTCAGAAGGGAGATCTCAGGATATTTCTTTTGCTTAATTCAAGAGGCTCTACCTGAGGTGAACCACACTGTGCCAGGACTAAAGGTGGCAGTTAGTGTGTTGGACAATAAGGGAGATCCTTTGTAAGCAGTTACGCTGACGTGAGTCTCTCCCAACAAATTTGCATCATTAAAAAACCTTTGGAAAAATGTGTCATGCATATAATTAAATACCTGTATGGCTAACTTTTAATTTAATTAATGCAAAGTGAAGATGGCAGCATGAATTAATTGAGAGGGAAATGGCTTTCCTCTCAGTGGGCTGAAGGGAGGGTTTCTGGAGGCATTGTGCCCTCAGAAATGTGCAGGTGAACTCCGGGACTGATTGACACAGTTTTTTGACAGTGATAGAACTGATGTCCTCACAGCAGTACGTATGTCACATATCAGCTCATTTTTCTCCCCTGTGAAAGCAAAGAGGAAATCCAGAAGGCAGTTTCTTTGGGAGAACAGCACAGCTGCTTTTCAGCCTTACCTTGAGAGATATTTGGTAGCAGCCACAGCAAATTCAACCTCAGACAGATGAATGAAAAGAAATTCGTGTCACAAAAGGTCTTTCTGTGTCTCCCATTGATTTCTTTCTGTGCCTGTATCTTCCTCTCTCAGTTGGTGCCTATGCTTTTTCCCCTTAGATACAACTTTCCTGTTCATCTGCTTTAAATATTAATTCTTCTTAACTTTCTTTAAAGACTTCCCCATAGAAGATCTTCTTTTGGTTTGACCTCTTTGCTAACCTTGTGTATTTCCTTTTTTTTTTCCCCCACCATTTTGGTCTTTTTCTCCCTGCTGTTAAATCTTTCCATTTTGCTTGGGATAAAACTGGAGCACAAAGTTGTTCACTGTGCAGGTGAGTTGTGAGCTCCATACTGCAGGAAGCAGGGAATCTGTTGTTGCTTCCTGCAGACTCATATGAACAAAGAACTTAAAATTGTCTTCCAGAAATGCTAGTTGTTGGTTTAGCAGCTCTAAGCTCAGCTCAAGTGCATGTATGAAGCATGTATGAATGAAGGAGAATGAAGGAGGCTGATTAGCAGCTCAGCAGGCCAGGCCTGTCAGCTCTGGTTTCAATATCAGCTGCTCAGGGTGTGCATGGGGGGATGGACCCTGCAGGAAGACTGGGGATCAGTGAGGGGCTGAGGCTGGGAACACGTCTTCCCCGTGGTGCTGCCTGGTGCTGGAGCTCCACAGAGACTTCACAGGGACTTTCCTGCATACCCCCCTGGATGAGATGAATGCAAACTTGAAGTTGCTTTTGTCTGTCTGTGGTAGGCTGAATGCTTCTGGCTTCCCGTTCAGCACTGACTTTTAGTATGATCCAGTTTTTGCAATTGGAACCAATGCTTTTAACAACCTTTTACATGTTTGTTTGGTGAAAAATGTGATCTGTTTGACAGGAAACTTTAAAGCTGCCACAATCATCTTGTTTGCTCTTCCTTTGTTCCTTTCACTAGAGCTGCATTAGCTGCAACTGTCCTTTCATTCCCCGGCATCCACAGTGTGGGAGGTGATTGTGGAACTGAGAAGCTGGGGAAGGGATGCAGGGTGCAAACCTCAGTGCCCATTCATGCTGTGAACCACTCTGCAGGGATAAACGGTCCTTGTAGAGCCCCGAGATTAGACATCTTCAGAGAGCTGAGATTGCAGTTGGCTTTTTTGGGGTGATCGTGCAGCGTGTGTCCTGTGCAGTGTGTGTGTCCTGCTGGGCTCGTGCTGCGGCAGCAGAATGTAAGGAAGCCTGGGTGAGGGGAGGTGCTAGGACAGGAGGATTTGCAAAGCTGCTGTGGCAAGCACTGTGCTCAGCCTGCTCTCTGGTGGTAGCTGCTGTAGCAGGGATGACCTTTGATAAAAATGTGAAGCATTTGATTTGGTTGGGATGGTTGTGGTGGCTCAGCTCCATACAGTTCACAGCAGTCATCAACTCAGCTGCCTGTGCTTTTGTTCCCTTATTCCCGGGCAAGATTCCTAGGTAAAAATTGAAATCACAGCAGCTTTGGGAAGAGAACTGCCAGCAAAGTTCCCCTGTGCAGTTTCTCCAATGTTTGACAAAGAAAGATCTCCATTCCATTTCACCTTTATTTCAGGTCAGGAGAGTAGACAACAGGTAACTGCTGGCCCACAGCATGGGAGAAATAAGCATCTTGGGGATCTTCTGTCAAGTTTGGCTGAAGACAGCCAACAAATTCCAAAAGCTCCTGCCAGAACTGAGGTGCAGAGACACTTAAGTAGGCCACTGGCTTGTGGTTGGTCTCATTTCCTTGGCTGGCTTCGGGAGTGGGATGTGGGATGGATACTTTCTGTTTAAATGACAAGGCACAAACTGTTTGGCTCCTTTGTGCGAAGCTGTTAAAGGGAAGGAAGTGCTTGATGCGTTGTTCAGAGGAGGCTGGCTAGTTGTGCTTGTTGGGAGCTTGAGCAAGAGAGTCATGATGAGAGCTTCTGCCTTTCAGCCCTGAAAACATATGGTGGTGTTTGCTGTCACCCTAGTGCTGGTTTTGCCATTTTTGTCAGGGAAAGAAGGAAGAATGGGGTAAATAGTTTTGGAGAGGGTAACTTGGGACCCTCTCTTGTTTTTGACATCCCACTAGTAAAATGCCAGCCCCATTTGTGTCTCACAGAAGATAACTCTTGATGTGGAAGATGCCTCTTCCAATAGTGACTGGTATTGCATAGCAGGACTTGTTTTACAGTACCTGAGGGGTACTCACAGCCATCTCTGTGGTCTGTTAGTGCTGGAGGCACCAGCAGGATCTGAGAACCTGTAGGGTGTGCATGCAGGAGTGAGAATTTGTGCTGGGGCTGGCTGGAGGGGTCTCCAGTTTATTTCCTTTTGACAGTGGAGGTGGCACATCATTACTGTTTTTGCATTTTATATAACTCAGTATCTGCATGTGGCCAGTACTCTTTTTGCTTAGAAATATGACGTATGCTGTGTCTTTGAATTGCAGTGTTTAAGACTGTGAAATTTAAAGGTAATTGAAGCAAATTCAGATTCTGTTTTTCAATGTGAATTTCTTTGGCCCACTAGAGACAACTTCTAACAGCAGCAGCAGCCATGTCTGCTGTTGTCTTCCTACAGTAAGAGGTTAAGAGTTGACGATCAATGAGCCAGAGATAATAACTTAAAAACATGGAAACTCTGTGGTAAAAACTAAAGAATGAAACCTGTGGCATAATGCATCTGTCAGTATTAGATGCAAATGGGAAATAATGCAGTGTGCAGTGAAAGGCGTTTGGGTTGTGTGTATTTTGCCAAGCATGGGAGCAAATCCTTCTCTTGCACAGAAGCTGAGATTTTGGGTTGGTTGAATCATAGAATGGCCTAGGTTGAAAAGGACCTCAAAAGTCATCTGGTTTCAACCTCCCTGCCATGGGCAGGGTTGCCAGCTATTAGAACAGGCTGCCCCGAGCTGGTGATCTTTGATAAAGCTTCTACCCCTGCTTCCTGAAGTCTGACATGGGATAGAAAAGCTTCAGTTGGAACCAGCTGCTTGGTGGGCCTCATCTTTTTCAGAGTGCTGTTTGCTTTCCTCAGATCCCAATTAAAACCTGTGTCAAACTTGGGTTTATTAGAAGCAGCCAGAGCTGTGGTATTTATCGTGAAAGGAATGTGCTCCTTACCTTTCCGCTCTTTCATTTCAGAGTCAGCATTCTTCAGGGGAGGACATGGAAATCTCCGACGATGAGATGAACTCCGCGCCCATCACCAGTGCAGAGTGTGCCAAAACCATTGTGGTCAACTCCTCAGTCAGCAACGCAGCCGTCATGGCCCCATCCATCCCTCCTCTGCCACCGCCGCCTGGATTCCCTCCTCTTCCTCCTCCTCCACCACCACCTCCACAGCCGGGTTTTCCGATGCCTCCGCCGCTGCCTCCTCCGCCTCCTCCCACACACCCTGCTGTCACCGTGCCCCCTCCACCACTCCCTGCTCCCCCTGGGGTCCCTCCACCTCACATCTTGCCTCCGCTTCCTCCCTTCCATCCCGGCATGTTCCCAGTCATGCAGGTGGATATGATCAGTGTCTTGGGCAACCACTGGGGTGGCATGCCCATGTCCTTCCAGATGCAAACTCAGATGCTCAGTCGGATGATGCAGGCACAGAACACATACCAGTATCCGCCTTTCATGGCAGGCAGGATGCAGTTTGTGAATCTGCCGCCCTACCGCCCGTTCTCTATGGGAGCAGCTCTTGGTCGTGGGCAGCAGTGGCCGCCACTGCCCAAGTTTGACCCCTCGGTTCCACCGCCGGGTTATGAGCCCAAGAAGGAAGATCCCCACAAAGCCACTGTGGATGGAGTCCTCCTGGTCATCGTGAAGGAACTGAAGGCTATCATGAAAAGGGACCTGAACCGGAAAATGGTTGAAGTGGTTGCATTTCGGGCATTTGATGACTGGTGGGACAAGAAGGAACGGCTGGCAAAGGTAGGCTTCTGTGTTGTGTGTGCTGGGTCACAGTGCTTGTGGCCAGTCTTGGGTAAGAAGGGATCTGGATCTGAATTAAGAAACGAAGCAAAAACAACAAAAAAAACCCTTAAATGTTATGATACCTAGAACTGAAGCAAAAAAATAGAACCACAGAATAGTTTTGCTGTGAGAAACCCTGTTGGTTGGGTGCTGAAAGTAAATGGGAAGCAGATATGTCCTGCATCTGCCTCCCTGGTCTCCGTGTGAGGTGGGTCAGGAGCAGCAGATTTCAGCCTTGGGACAAGTTAGCACCCAGGTGTTAAACCTGGTTCAGTTTTGTGGTGTTGCTATGTGCATTTCGTGCTGCTTTTCCATGAGAACAAATATGGTCTTAGATGAAGGAACCTTGTTCCCCTCCCACTCTGGGGCATGATCCGAATGGGACAACGAGCAAACCCTCTGTTTTTCCAGACAATCTGAGGGGCTGTAACATCCTCACTTAGAGAGGCATTGCTACCACCCCAGTCCATGAGCTAGGTGATGTCTGAGCATCACTGCAGCCACTGATGCATCTCTGCAGACTTGCCTTGCCAAATCTGAACTCCACTGAGCATCAGTAGTGGGGCAGGCACAGCTGCTCCTTCAGACAGAGCCTTCAATGTTAAGCAGCATTGCTATTAAACTCCTAAAGTTCAGTTTTTTACCCTTGCTTCTCCTCTCTCTTTTCACCCTTTGCTAAAGTCCCAGGGCCTAAAATTGGAGAAATGTGGAATTTTTTTTTTTGTAGTCCAGGCCACTGGTGGCTGCTTCCAGGAAGGAGTTTGCAGGAGGGAATGACCCCAAGATTGGGATACAAACTGGTGAAGGCTTCTTTCATTGAAGAGGAAGCTGAACTCTGGGTTGTGTGTATTTTGTATTCTGCTCTAAAAATCAGGAGTACTTGAAAACACGGAACCAGAGCTCTCTGTGCCCACTTTGTACAACAAAGTCCAGGAACATTCCCAGTTCCGCACTCCTCCCTCCTCCCCAGTGCTTGTATATGGCAGCAATTAATGCAAAAGCTGAACATTGGCCAAATACATGAGGATTAGTTAAGGGGACAGCTTTGCATGAATTGTCTGATCCTTTTTCAGCCAATTTCGAGCATTCCTCAGCAAGCAAACTGCTCTATGATTTAATACACAGTGAAATGAGCTCTACCCAAAAAAGCAATTCCTACAGAAAGATTCATGCAATCTTCACAGTGACTATTACAATGAGTTGTTTAAAAAATATATAAAAATATAAAAATAAATAAATAAGGCAACACCACCAGCCACAGCTGCCCTTTTTGTTTCAGGTACCAGTTTCCAGAGCAATGCCCTCACAACAGGCTCTGTAAGCTGGTTGCATGTTAACTCTCATGCCTAAGATTGCTCCTTGGTTTATGCAGAGGTTGATATTGCTGCTGCAGAGCAGCTGCTTCCTGACAGTGTGATCTGCTTAGAGCTGGCTGTTGGGCAGTGAGGAGCCTGGTCCTCTGCTCCTGGCTAATGCACAGAACTGCTGCCTTCATCAGCAGGTACGTGCTAGTGCTGCTAGAGTCAGTCCCTGAGCTTCCAGGAGAGCAAGAGGAAGGGATCTCAAAAGCAGCAGCTGAAGTACCCAAGAAATTGTTTTAAACCAGGCTCTGCAGTGAAGAAGGAGAAGCAAGTTGAGGCAGGTGTGCAGCGGTGCTCGGGCTCCTGTATGTACTGTGCTGGGGTTGGGTTTAGAATGTTTCTCTCTCACCTGGAATTTGCAGACCACATTGGTAAGGGAAGCTGTCTGTTCCACAGCGCCTTGGCACAGCACAGGTTGTGCTGAAGGTGAGCAATCTGATGGAACACGTGGAAAAACTTGTGTTTTTTGTCCAGGAGCCATTGCTGCTTCAGGGCAGTGTCCGGAGAAGCTTCTGCCAGGCTGTGTGTCATGTTGCACATGGGGAAACCACCCAGGTCTGAGCCTTGTTTCTGCTAGGCCCAGCCATTAGCTGTCTGTGTTTGCCAAAGAGAACAAACTAGGAATATTCAGCTAAGTGGCACCTTCCTGTTGCTGGTAGGTTCCTGTCCAAGGACTCCTTGGGGACACTGGCAGGCTGGGGCTCCACACATTGGCATCACTGATTTTTCTAGAACAGACCAATGCCTCCAGGCACTCTTAGAGCTGAAAGGTCATCAGCACACAAGTGTCTCCCCAAAACATGCCCTTTGTCCCTATTAAAACCTAGTGGTTTTAATAGGAGCTCCTGATATAATTTTTCCTTTCTGATTAATAGCAGTGAAATAAACTATTATTTTTCAGAGGTTTAGAAGTATAAATAAGTCAACATATGTGCTTGTTTTCATCTTTCTCTCTAGAAATGTACGAGGCAGGTTTGTAGGGAGAAAGATCTTTTAATACCTCGTGTCATTGGACCATCAGCTGCAGCAGCCTCCTCTTCCTTCACAGTGGAGATGGAAGCTCACTGTGACTGTGTTTGAGCTCCTCCATGTGCTGGTTCCTGCAGTCAACGTGTCCCTCTGTACAAAGGCTTCCAGAAGCCTCATGGTTTTATTTTTGGGCTTTTTCTTTTTTCTTTTTTCCAACAGTGTTCAGTCAGAAATTATCTATGGAGCGTTTCTGACTGCTTCTGAACTTTCTGGGGCTGTTTAGGCTGGGGAAAAGGAGGCTGAGGGGAGACCTTATTGCTCTCTTCCAATAACTGAAAGGTGCTTACAGCAAGAGCGGGGTTAGTTTCTTCTCACTGGTGACAGGTGATGGAACAAGGGGAAATGGCCTTAAGTTGCACCAAGGGAAGTTTAGGTTGAATATCAGGAAAAACTTTAAAGAAAGGGTTGTTAAGCACTGGATTAGGCTCCCCAGGGTGGTGGTTGTCACCATCCCTGGGTGTGTTTAAACTGTTTGGATGCAGTGCTCAGGGACATGATTTACCAGAGGGTTGTTAGAGTTAGGGTAGTTTGGTTAGGTTGCGGTTGGACTCGATGATCTTTAAGGTCTTTTCCAACCTGAGCAATTCTGTGATTCAGCACTGCATGGAAACACAGCATACTTATCACTCCAATGCCTCAGCTTTTGTTTCTCCCTTTTCTGGCTGCTATATTAACATGGCTGCTGCTGATTGCCAAAAACATATTGCTATGGGTGTAGAGTGGGGAAAACCCGAAGGTAAAGCTAGTGTCCTAGGTCAGGCATGATGGAAAACGTGTGGGGTGAACACTGTAAGGAGCATGTTGCTGAGAAGGCAGCACGTACCGTGGTCTTTGCCTGGAAAACACTTTCCAAGTCTAGTGCTGCTTGGGTGGCTGAGCAAGATGCATTAAGCACAGTGCCAGGAATAACCAACCATCCCTGGGTGAGGAGGGCTGCTGTCTGAGTTCTCTGCTTGATATTCCCATTAGTACTGTCCTTTATTAGCAGGAGAGTTGAGCTTACACTTCCTTTTCAGTGATTACAATCTAGCAAATTAGCTCTGTTAGTGTCTGTAAGTGAAAATGACTTTTAGCTGATGTTGCACCACTGACTGATGCAAGTGAACATTACCTCCAGTGTCCTTTGCTCAGGACAGGCATGCAGTGATGTCGGTCTGCTTTGCTACTTGATGGCTCTAAATGCAAGATCTCTTGGTGTCCGTGCCAAACTACTCCTCTGAGAGTCCCCTCAGGTTTGTCTTCAGCAGTTTTAGTGCCTGTGCAGAGCAAATAACTTGTTAAAATGTAAAGGGGAGGCTTCTCGTAGATGGGAAGGTCTTACTGTCAACAAGAGCTTCTGCACTTTCTCCCTTTCAGGTGTTGTGGTCATGTGGTGCATGTCCAGATGCCTTCACAGAAACTGATGCCTAACCTAGGGACGGGTATTTCGTGAAACACAGCTATCTGAATTGCTTTGGAGTTCACATTCTCCCTAGGAAACTTCTCCTCTCTTAAAGGTCTTTTTTTTTTCTTTTTTTTTTCTCCCCTTCTGTTGCAGGCATCTCTCACACCAGTGAAGTCTGGAGGAGAGCTGGAGGAGAAACCAAAGCCAAAGGATCGAATCACATCTTGCCTCTTGGAGAACTGGAACAAAGGCGAAGGCCTGGGATACGAGGGAATTGGCTTGGGCATTGGGTTACGAGGGGCCATCCGGTTGCCATCCTTCAAGGTAAAAACAGAGATCTGTCTTCATTACACTAACATTCCCTAAAGGTGCAGTAGGAGAACAAACCTAGCTAGGTCTGTGCCCCAAAGCCCCACAGGCTGTTAGCTGCACACTGTTCCCTAGTAAGATTCCTTCCTTCAGTATCCCTTCTAACCCACCAGTGAAAAAACAAGGATGCTCTTACCCAGCCGTAGCCTTTCATCTACCACTTGTGTGAACTATTGGTAAAGGATTTCTGCTCTCTAAGGTGAATGGAGCATGCGCCCATGTCAGCTGAGGCAGAGTTTCAGCACGGTTGTAAAAATATGCTTATGCTAGTAGCACTTTACACAGTTATTTCTTTGCTTAGAACTCTGTAAGCAGTTTATTCAGAGCTGGATTTACCATTCATAATAGGCCTGTAGCACCACTAGATTCCTGGATTTTGAGGCTTGGCTCTTTTGCATAAGTTGCCTGTATAATGTCTTACAGTTTGGCAGCTGAGTCACACCTGAAATTTGATTTAAAATGTTTTCTACCTCATGTGAGTTTATGGGATCAGACTTACAACTATGGGGTCATTAATTTTAAAGATTATTTGTGCCTTCTGCCAAGAAGTAGAAGCATAAAAAATGAAAGTTTTTTTTTTCTTTAGTAGTTTAAGCAAAAAATAAGTGGTGTTAGAGAGGATTTCCTTGAAACTGAAGTTTTGAATACAAAGGGAAAGCATGTAAAGATTTGGGACTAGAGATTCAGAAGTCTTGATTTAAAATAAAACTTGTTTCAAGGTTCTTTAAGATACTGTAGGCTCAGACTCCTTTTCTGTTCTGCTGCAACTCAGACCGATGCATTTGTCACAAGCTAAATCTGTCAGATTCAAAGTACCTGATGATGACATGCACCATGCTGACATGGAAAGTGTTTTGATTTAAAATGAAGGGGTGGAATTTCATTCACAGTAAAATGCTGTTTGCAAGAAAATAAAAGGATCAAGAGCTGGGAAAGTGGCCCTTGATTTCTGGGTGTAAGTCACAGTAGCAAAGTGAAGCAGTAGCAGTTTAAGAAGTTGATTTCTGCTGTTTCTAAACTCTTTTAGAAATGCAAATTTTGTCTTTTGTTCAGGTGAAAAGAAAGGAGCCACCAGAAGCTGCCTCAGCAGGAGATCAGAAGAGAATCCGGCCTTCTACTTCTGTTGACGATGAAGATGAAGGTTTGCACAGCACATTTGTTTCAAACCCGAGCAGATGCAAGCCACATGCAAGCTGAATTCTTTTAAACTTCACAGCAGTGTGCTCACTTACAGTTAGACACAGAGTAAAGGATTTGAGCCGAAGCCCTGCCTCTTGCAAAACTCTCATCAGCTGGGAGGTGTCTCCTATGGTTTCAGTTATCTTACAGTCACTGGTGGGAAATTTAAGACCTGCATGTTACAAACACTCATGTCCTTTAGTAGATTTGGTGATGCAGAGCTGGTCACCCAGTAGAGGGAGCTCAGGTTAGTTCATGGACTGTATTCTAGAGGCGTGCTTGCAAATCACTGTGTATGTTGAGGGAGAAAGCAAGTAAGGGACAGTTTGCCCTGCGCAGTTTTTAAATTTATTTGCTGGAAGAATCTGTTTTCAAATATTAACTTTTTTCCCCCCCTGGAAACATGGAAGAATGGAGATAAGGGTGTTCAAAGCCTCACGTCTTTATTTTGCATTAAAAAGTGGATTTAAAATAGTTGTACTATAAACTTGATTCAGACTAGTAATTGATTTTAAAGTTAAAGCATAGAAACAAAGGTTTTGCTTTTTGTTTTTTTTGTTTTTTTTTTAAACTGAAAAGAGAGAGGAATTAAGTCATAAGAACCAAGGTTAACTAAACTTTCCATAACTAGACCCACAAATCCATCAGTTCTTCAAGAAGTAAAGCAAACCCTGAGTTGTTAAAGCATTAGTACCCCTCAGTGTGTCTGTTTAGGGAAGCATACAGGGAGTTTCCTGACATGAATCATGCATTGTCCCTTCCTTCTGATTCATGAGGAAGCTTGACTCCACTGGTGCAGTATATTCTTATGTTTCTCGATTCAGCCTCTTCTGTATTCTATTCTGATATTCCTGTCTCAAAAATACATTTTTCTTAAGGATGGTACAGTTTTGTATTACTGTTCTCCAAGCAGTGTCCAAGACTGTGGGATGAGACAACCTCTTTGGCTTTCCTATCATGATCTCATGGTGCCATGTCTCTTAGCTGTTCCACCTAGGGTTGTCAGCTTTGACTTCCTGCATAACGCCTTCCTTGGGACTTTCAACACTTTGCACCCAGTCTCACCCTCACTTGCACTGTGAAATTAGTAAGTGCCTGTGAGCTTGGGGACTCACACCACATGGACACATTGCCCCAACTTTGATCCTCCCAAAGCAAAAGCTTTCACAATGTTGTCTGTAAGTCTGTTGCAAAATATTTGATGTCAGTTTCCTTGGTTTTGCTCACCAGAGTTGGAGAGGGACAGAGATGCTTCCGATACCACATCCGACCTGTCAAAGAAGGATGCAGAAGCAGTGGGGCTGAGGCGGCGACCAGCAAGGCCACTGGAGCTCGACAGCGAGGGGGAAGAGGGAGATGAGACATCAGGGAAAGAGGAAGAGTCTTCCTCAGAGAAAGAAGAGGAGCAGGAGGAAGAAGGAGGCTTGGTGAAAGCAGCACCTGGCAAGGTGTGTTGGTTTGTGATTGCAGAATGCTGTCTGTCATTAAAAGGGGTCTTAGTAATTCCAAATCTCAACGTTATTTTCTCTAGAAGATGAGTGCTTGTCATAGGGTCTCTCCTAAAATAATCTCTATATGAGAGAACCCCTCAGGTTCTCTGATCAGCATCTCTGAGAGTCACTGGTAATTACTGTAGTGACAGCCAGGTCAGCGGGTCAGACACTGTTAATTTCTCACAATGCTTTCTTGTGAAGGAGGAAGAGGAGGATGAAGATGATGAGGAAGATGAAGATGACGATGAGGATGATGAAGATGAAGAGGATTATGAAGAGACAGGTGTTGAAACAAGTGACAAAGAGGAAGAGCAGGACTCTGAAGAGGGTAAGCAGTTCCAAGGAAAGCAGCAAGTTTGTCTTTCAGGTCATTTGGGATCTCCCTTTTGCACTCTATTCGTAAGCCAGTGTTTATTTGTGCACCCCTTTGACTGAAAGGCAGTTCTGTGCAAGGTAATTTATGCAGATATACATAGTCTCAGTACAAATGTATTTAAGAGACAGTCTGCCAAGAGAATGGTGTGGGCAGGGGGCCAGGCAGTGCTAGCTCTACTGCTTATGGAGCTGCCTGCTGTATGGTGATTGCTGTTAGCATCCAAATACTTGGTTTGATAATCCCTCCAAAAATAAACTGTGAGATTTTGAGACTTTGATTCCTTCAAATCCACCTGTTGCTGTTGATGTCATTACAAGTGTGGAAACAATATTTGTTCCTGTAGTACAGCCTGATTGTTTACTGAAGTCAGAAAGCAGAACTAATGGTAACCTCCTCTTCTTGTAGAAGATGTAGCGAGTCCCTCATCTTCCAAGGCTGAAGTTGAATCATCAGATGAAAGTGAGGACTCCTCTGAATTTGAATCAAGTTCTGACTCAGATGAAGATGATGATGAGGAGGAGGAGGATGAAGATGAAGAAGAGGAGGAGGAGGAAGAAGAGGTGGCTGAAGATCAAGACAGAGAAGCCATGGTTGCTGAGACGGAGCATGAACCTGCGAGTCATGAGCTTCTCGATGATAAGAGGGAGACCATTTTGGAGCTATATCCTGTGGACTACATGGATGCAACGGGCTTGGGACTCTCAGAGCCAGCTTTGGTAGAAAAGGATGAAGGGATGGAAGAAGTCAAAGCAGAGGAAAGTGAATGTGATCAAGTCCCAGAGGAATCTATTGCTGCTGAAACACTCAAACAGTTGGTTATGGAAAGAGACCAGGAGCCAAAACTTGCACTGTCTCCCATCTGCAGACCAGGTATAGTCTTCCTTTTGGTTTGGCACTTCTTGTTTTTCCAAATACAGTATTTTTGCAGCATCCAATATGTATGATTTTGTTTCCGTTGTTCTTTCTTTCTGCTTGGCTCTAGGCTAGGGATTATCTGTATCTTTTCTTCCTAGTAAAGTTCAGCACAGAGCTTTTTGCTTGGACAGATAATGGTGGGTTTTGTATCCAGAATCTTGTCCTGGACCAATTTAGTTAGTGTCCTGCAGGAACTGAGTGGTTGTTATCATCCAGAGGTGACTGGAAGGTGTGATGGCTGAAGCTAAAGTTAGTAAAGCCGTGGATGCTAAAACGAAACATGTATCTGTGCCTAATGAGTCATTACTGACTGTTCTTGGCTTTAATACCAAAGAAGTATGTGACTGTTAAACTGTATGTGGCAGGTGAGTAGAGTTTTAGAATTGTATCTGATTCATGGTACTTATTTTTATCATTTTAAACTTAGTTCTTTTAAGTGAACGATACCCCCTGATTTGCTGGGAGAACAAATTTGTCTTGATTCAGTACATAGTTGTGTATAGCCCATGAAGACTAGAATAGGAGTAGAATGCAAAAAGCTTGGCAAGTTCTGCAGCAGGAAGGAGGGAGCCAGCAGGGAGTGTGTATCTAGTGTAGTGAGCCTCAAGCAGGTTGGGTGTCTGAGGGCTGTAGATCTGGGAACTGGGCAGTATTTTGTCACCTGCAGAGCTGGAAATCAGGTCTCTGCCCAGGATATCACTCCTTGGCTGTTATAAAACCCGAAAGACATAAAGGCTAGATGTTAAATCAGGCACAAGCTCAAACTGCAGCATTCTTATTGTGCTTGCCCAGCCTGGTCATACAGGAGTGACGCAGGTCTGACCCTTCTCCTGTGATTCTCTGGTTCATTCAGCACAGATGGACAACAGTTCCCCTCCACTTCTCCAGGCGTTTCCCCTTCCTTTTGCTTTCCCACTTGAAAATGCTATTTTGAGCTGCCTAAGATGATTCACTGTTGATTCATTTTGGCCCTGGATCTAAGGAGGTAAATAAACTCCAGACAAATGAGCCTGCTGCAGAGAGAGAGCAGCATATAAATTGCCTCACTGATACCATCTGAGTGACTCCTCATTCATTACAAGGGCTTTCTATTTCCTTCATGTGTTGTTTAGGGGTGTTATGCTTTTCCCTTCCTTGTTTCTACCCTTGGAGAGCTGAGGGTACTTCTTAGCCCTACAATTAGTTTACGTGCCCAATCAGAAAAGCTGATTGCTTGGGGCTCTGACACATGTCCTCCACAGCCTTTGCCCTGCAGTTCACTAATGCTTTTTATGTCTGCAAAAAGGTGGTCAGGGGGTTTGAAAGCAGAAAGCCTTCATTCTGGGCTGTGTAGTAGCTAATTCTCAAATTAATAGTGTGTTTTTTTAATGGTCGATTAGGGATGTCTGTGGTAGTGTCTAATTACTCCATACTCTGTCTCCAAAATGTAAAGCACTGGTGCTTTTAAAGCTTCCCAGTGGAACTGAACTGCTCTGTAACTGCAGCATCTTTAATCTGCCTTTACTGGCAAGTGGTGTGTAACCAAGTGGAAGCAACACTTGTGATTCTTTAATTTTTTTTTTTCCCTAGTGGAAGAGCCTGAACCCATCGTCATGCTGGAGCCGGAGGTACAAGAATGCCCAAAGCCTGAATCACAAGATGAGGCTGGCACAGTCTGTCTCTCGACTCCAGTGGCAGTCTTTGGAGAACCTCTGCCCAACAAAAGCAGCTTCTTTAGGAAGTCTGATGACAGCTGCTTAGAAACGCATGTTAAGACAAAGCTGCCCTCTGCAGTGGAGGAGGAGGACAGGTTGCCTCGCACACCTGGACGGGAAGCAGTGGTCCATTCAGAGACTGATATTCTTTTGCTCCCAGCCCACAAGGTGCCATCCTCCACACTTCCCTTACCATCGACTCCTGGTAAAGAGGAATCTGTAGTCCCTCCAGAAAAATTCCCTGAACAATTAATGGTGACCAAAACGTCCATAGAAGAGGAGATTCCTAGGACTCCTGGGCGGGACATTTTGGCCAAGTCTTCACACCCCCTTGCAAAGTCGCAGAGCACAGACACTGTTCCAGCCACGCCAGGAAGTGATGCTCCCCTTACAGGAAGCAGCTTGACCCTCAGTTCCCCTCAAGTCCCAGGGAGCCCCTTTTCCTACCCATCCCAGTCTCCTGGCATTAACAGCGGCATTCCTCGGACTCCTGGGAGAGATTTCAATTTCACGCCTACTTTCCCAGAGGCTGGTGCTACCATTCCTTGCCTTCTGTCTGGCAAGAAACAGTCAGAGGATGACCTAGAAGAGAAACCTTTTAAAGAGCCTCTTGGTGCTTCCCTTACTATCAGCATGAACAGCGTTCCTTCTCCTATCCCCTTTGCCAGCCCCACGCAAGCAGATTTCCGCACAGACATGGGCTTGCCACCTAACGAGCCAATACCCATCGCAGCCCTGCCATGCATGCCTGGAGATGGAAGAATGCCCATCGAAGAGTGCAAGGCGGAAGTAAAATCTGTTTTGCTCTCGCCAGAAGCACCCATTGGTGCATCTATTCTTCCTCCACCACCACCACCTTCTGTTCTTCCCAAAAGGAGGCCGGGTCGGCCAAGGCGGTCCCCACCTTCTGTCCTCTCATTGGATATGTACTCGGGCAAAGCCATCGAGCCACCCCCTGTCCCTGTGGCTTTGGTGGAAAGTGCTATGAGCAAAGAGCTACTGAGTGCACACCCCGATGCTTTCTATGGACTGAAGGACCCTGAAGCCGTCACCCTAGATTTCAGGAATGACAGCTTCCACGAGAAAATAGCAGCTGAGACAGTTGCAGAGAAACTGCCATTTAAGGAATTGGAGAACCAGTGGAATGAAGATTTCAAGGAAGAAGAAGCTCACGTGAAGCCTAAAAGACAGTGGCGAAGGCAGAAGAAGTCACCCGAGCACCTCCCAGTGATTCCTTCCCCAGAGTACTCCCCACCTCAGCCTCAGTTCAGACCACGCTCCGAGTTTGAGGAGATGACCATTTTGTATGATATTTGGAATGGAGGCATAGATGAGGAAGATATCAAATTCATGTGTATCACGTATGACCGCCTCCTGCAGCAGGACAATGGTATGGACTGGCTCAATGACACACTGTGGGTATTCCATCCTTATATCCTTTCTCACTGGTGCTCTGCATTACACAACACTTGCAAGATGATCATTTTTTGCAAAAATCATGGGTAATGTATGGGTATTTTTGCAAAAATAATGGGCAGAAGAAGCCTTTACTTATTAGAATAGCAATTACTTATTCCAGCAGAGAATTTTAGACTTTTATTCCCTGAAGCTGTAATACAGAAATATTGCAGAAGTGGCTGTTGTGCTGCATTTTCCAGCTAGGACTGAAGGGAAATCTGTATGTATCTCTTCTGGGGAGATTTCTGGGAAGCTACTTTGTATGTTAGACAAGACAAACTGCACTGCCCCATGTATTGCTAAGGATTTCTGGAATTAAAATATCTGATCCCCTAACTCCTCGAGGGAGCAGATTTACTGAAGCCTGTGAGGGCAGTGTCTCCCAGCCTTCTGGGCTGAGTGCCTATGGCTGATCCATTGCACCTTACCCAAGGCAGGGGGGTGAGATTGCTGTACTGAGCTCAGCCTCGTGTCTTCAGAGCTTGGGGTGACTTCTGGAGGGGAAACAAAAGTGTTCTTTCAAAACTCCAAGAAAAGGGTGCAGCCAGATGGGTGGGCAGCTGCTGTCTGTGTTCACGGTTGGTGCTGCAGGGAAATCTTTTTCCAAAAAGGTTTTTCTTGGCAGTTAAATGTTTTTATGTTTAAAACACTTTTTTCTTAATTTCCCGAAGCATGCAGCTAAGGAAAGAACTGGGTTTTCCTGTAGGCATATGGGCTTGAGGAATTTTTTTAAAATAAAATTGTTTCTTGCAGCCTCTCCCAACAGCATTCCCCATTTTCCAAGCTGCAGCTGCTAGCTCCGTGTAACCACAGGAGGTTTTTTGTCTGATAGCACCTGGCAGCTGCTTTGCTCCTTAACTTCTTTCCACCTACCAGCTTTTCCACCCCCAAGAAAAAGAAGCGGGACGATGGGATGCGGGAGCACGTCACGGGCTGTGCACGAAGCGAAGGCTATTACAAAATCGATAAGAAGGACAAACTCAAATACCTCAATAATAGCCGAGCTTTTGCAGAGGAGCCTCCAGCTGACACGCAGGTGAGGGCATGTCTTCTGCTGATCACCAGGTGTGAGTGAGATTTGACTCTGTGTGGCCTTGTGCCCGCTGCAGCCCACCTTTTGGCAGGGAGGGAGATGATGCTGTTGCTGTGCCTGTGTTGAGCTGGCCATTTGGGTAGTGCTGCTGTTCAAAGTAGGATGTTTCAGAGGGCCATGTTTCTGTGATGATATGGCACAAGAGACCGCACATGGGTGGGGTTGCAGGGCGCTTTGTCTGTTGGGTCAGCTCTGAAGATGCGTTTGTCCTCAGGGGATGAGCATCCCTGCCCAACCTCACGCTTCCACGCGGGCTGGCTCCGAGCGGCGGTCAGAGCAGCGCAGGCTCCTCTCCTCCTTCACTGGTAGCTGTGACAGCGACCTGCTCAAGTTCAACCAGCTCAAGGTAGGTCCCTGTGGGCAGGCTGCAATGGGCAGAGGCTGGCTGGGAGCAGCAGGCCGAGACCAGGGCAAAACAGACAGGGATCTCAGTGCTGGGCGCCTCTGTGTGTGCCCCAGGCGTGAAAGGGGCCCAGAATGGAACTGTTGCTTTGCCTTCTGGTAGAAGTCTCTGTACAGGCTGGGTCGGAGGTGCTCAGCTGGGGAGTTGAATTCTGCAGCCCTGCTGTCATAACAGCTCTGGTGAGTAGAAGAGCTGCTCTCAGTGGATCACCCAACACAGAGCCTCTCTGTGGTACAAAGCTCTTCTGTGCTTCCATTTAACCGAACTTAAAGATCTCTGTGGTCTAATTCACCTAAAAATAGAAACACTGGGAAAACAGGGCACTCTAGTCCATTGTGCTCCCTTGTGAGGAGCAGAGGTGTGATCTGCTTGGTAAATGGCTGTAAATAAGTGCATGAGCATATTAAGGCCAAGGCAGAATCATCAAGGCTGTGCAGAACTGAGACCCCAAGCGGTCTGTTCTCCAAAGCTGCATGTGGTCATTGGTACAGACCCAAGTCCTGTGTCTCTGTGGGACCTCCTGTGTCCCCTGTACTGTCCTCCTGTCGCTGAAAGAAATTGGAAGGAATTTGGATTGGCTTGAAGCACTACTTGTGGCTAGGGCCAGCCTTTCTCTTTCCATGTTTTCTCTTTCCATGTTGGGACTAATTCAGGGTTTCTGGGGTGTTTTCTTCATGCAGTTCCGGAAGAAAAAGCTAAAATTCTGCAAGAGCCACATTCACGACTGGGGCCTTTTTGCCATGGAGCCCATTGCAGCTGATGAGATGGTGATTGAGTACGTGGGTCAGAACATCAGGCAGGTAAGCTGACACATGAGTGAAATCTGATCAAAACCCAGCTGAATGAAGTGACTGAGTCTGATGGCTGGGCTGGTGTCCCTGCTGTAGGTCATTAGCTGTGTGATCTAGGCAGACTGGCATGTGGTTTAAAAGAACAGGCTGGATTTTCAACACCCCATGGAAATAAAGTGATCACATCCTTAGGGAGTAAGCCTTCCAGAAGCCTATTCTGAACTTCTGGATATTTGGCATCATGTGTCTTGAGCAGCACAAGCACAGCTGAGGTGAGCCTTGTGTAGGTCTTTGCTCCCAGATCATTCCTGCTTTGTGTTCTAATGCCACGCGTGGGTTTTCTGTAGGTCATTGCTGACATGCGTGAAAAGCGATACGAGGATGAAGGCATTGGGAGCAGTTACATGTTCAGAGTTGACCATGACACAATCATCGATGCTACAAAGTGTGGAAACTTTGCCAGGTTTATTAATCACAGCTGCAATGTAAGTATTGGTGTATTGTTTTTTCCCGCCTCATATAATTGTACTCTGACATACAGATAAACCTACTGAGTCCTCACTGTTCCTCGCTGATCAGGAACACACTGAGAAGTAGCAAGGGTTAGGATTAAGTTAAGGAGCTGCAGCAGATCAAAGCTGGGTCTAAATGTCTAAAACTGTGTAAGGAAGAGATTTGAAGGAGCTGAGAAATTAAATATGCAGTGAGACAGAGTGCAGTCAGAATCCTCCTGACCATATTGTGGAATACTGTTCAACCACATCTAATAAGTATTTCCTTCAAACAATTTTAGCAGCTGTTCTGCTGTGGGAATGATCTCATTCTAGTGCCCACATGGGAAAAGCAGTCTTGTCCTGGTAGGTGGAGAAACTGCTTTCCCCTGTGTTTTGTGCTGCAGTTGTCACTCAGAGACTTCTGGATGTCCAACCATGTTACTGAGCATTAGCTGAGCTACGGTTAGTCCATGACAAACTTGGTAGAACATTGTGTGGGCTCCTGTGCACTGCAGATGACCACAGTGCCTGTTTTGGAGGAGCACCATTAAGGATGCTCTGGTTTCTGGCTTCATGCCTCCAAGGCTCCCAGGCTCTGGGAACATGGCTGAGGCTGGCTGGGAAAGCCACGACCCTGCTCTATGTTAGAATAATTGTGTGGAGGCTGGGAAGTCGTGGCATCAGGAACCTAAATCATTACCTGTTCTATCACCCTGCAGCCAAATTGTTATGCTAAAGTGATCACGGTGGAGTCTCAAAAGAAGATCGTCATCTACTCAAAACAGCACATCAATGTGAATGAGGAAATTACTTACGACTACAAGTTTCCCATTGAGGATGTAAAAATCCCATGTTTATGTGGCTCTGAGAACTGCAGGGGAACCCTAAACTGAACTCGAGGTTTCTCGTCACACTTGCACCTTTGGCCATGTCAAAACTGTGGTAACCAGGTGTGGTTGCACTTTGCCAAAAAAAAAAAAAAAAAGGAAAAAAAAAAAAAAAAAAAAAAAAAAAAGAAAAAAAAAAAAAAGGAAGAAAAAAAATTAAAAAGAAAAAAAAAATGTATTTAAAAAAAAAAAAAGGAAAAAAGAGAAGAAGAAAACCAAGCAAGTTTCGCCAGGATCACGGATGAAAGCAAAAAGCGCACATGCTAACGAGGACTGTTCATGTTTCAGGTGCTCTTTCCTTTTCAGATCCAACACGCACGCAGAAAGGTGACTGCTGTTCTGTGGTGTGGTCTATCCAAACACTAGCTTCTGTCTGTTCAGTCCCTACATTAATGCTCCATAATGGGATAATGGTACCTTTTTTTTTTTTTTTTTAATTGTTATAAACCTTCATCTTTTCATAAATGCTGCTACCTTTTCCTCATCAGTTTTGTTGGTTGAAAAAGGCATTCAACGTTTAAATGTGAAGCAGAGACTGAAAATGCCATGTAGGGTTTGTTGGGAGCTTGATTGGCTGAAATTGCACAGATTTCTCAGATTAAGCTGTAAATAAATGTCAGGTTAATGTTACAGAGGAAGCCAGAGGCTTGAGGGTGTGTGAATGGGTGTGTGTGTGTGTGTGTGTGTACAGAGATGTCTGCAGTGAGACTATAGGTGACCTGTCCTGCCTTTCCATCAGGGGTGAGCCTGAACAAGTCCCCAACGCCAGCCACCCTGTGGACATCAGGGCAGCCATGGCCTGGGCTTTGCCTTGGGCCATCGCTGATGGTCGCCCGCCATGCTGGTATATTGGGGGATCAAAGCCTCAGCACCCAGACAAGGGAGAGTGGGTACTGCAATCATTGCTAACAGAGTCAGTTGTTTAGTCCCAGAATTGTGGCGCAACGCGTGACCTTTCAGGATCTCTCATATATTGGTTTGTCTGTCTAGTGTCCAAAAAACCTCTGGAGCTGAAAGTAAGTAGGAAATAAGCCTCAGATATTCCATAGAAATCTTACCTTCCTTTGAAGGGTACACTGCACCTCATGTTCATGATAAGATTTTATTCCTGTTGATGGGAAACAGTCTGATGTGTTACTCATGTGGATTTTCCTCGATTCTCCCAGCCTTGCCAGTGCTTTACAGGGCCTGTCTGCCCTGGCCTTGAATGGGGAGATTCCTGCTGTGATAGGAGCAGGCCAGACCTCCCCCAGTTACTCAGTAACTTGCCCTGGGTGGTCCCATCCTGCAGTAAGCACAGACGTGGTGGGCAATGCCCCTGAGCACGGGCTGCACCCTGTCCTCCCCCATCTGCAGCATGGCAATGAGTGCTGCTCTGAGCTCCAAAGGCATGTTTTGGAGTGGTTTTTCGATCTGTTTTGTCCTTGTAGATGTACTGAGGTGAAGTTTGCACTTCAAGAGGTTCCATTTTAAAAATGAGCCAAAACATGGAATTAATGTTTCTGGGGGTGTGATCTAGGAGTGTTGCACGACTGTTTGGGTATGGGCAGGATCAGTTATTTCAGCCTGCATTGAGTCTCTTCTGCTTCAAATGTAGAGGTAGTTTGTACTAAGCCTTTGTAATTGACTTACAGGGAAATTGCAATGTAATTATAAAATGCAAACGTCATCTGCATAACTAAAATCTCCTCCCCGTAGAGCAAAAGCACAGCTGTATTCTCGTTCCTTTTCAAATTAGTGACAATTGCTGTCGAACCACAGCTCCCCATGATCAGAGGGTACAACCTTACTAAAGAGTTTCCTGGAAAGTGTTGCCACCCTTGCTGGGAACTGCCATGCCTGTCCCACGGCTGGGGGCTTGGTGTAGGTTAGGCCTCTGTGCTGGAGTTCCTGCTTTAGACAGAGGGCCTGCAAGAGCCCCGCTGTGCCTGCACTGCTGCCTGAGGGAAGGGAACCGGCCCTGAGGTTGGGCAGCCTGTAGTCTCATCTGTGCTGTTGTTCAGTTTTGTTGTTTCCTATGGTCTTGAGGGTTTCCCCTTCTCTCACTGAGTCTGTCCAGCAACTGGGTAGTTGTGGCCAGAACCTGTGGGCAGTGTCTCATTGAGCATAGGCAGTGCATTGAGCTCCTGTGGCAGGAGCTTTTGGGGATTAAGCCAGCTACTCTGTCCCTTTTCTTTAAATGAGGCTCCTATCATGTTGATGCTTCAGTTGGCATTGCTACAGCTGGGTCTCTTGCTTGCAAAGCATTGGGAACGCACAGATGTTGTTTCGGAATGAAGCCCTGCCCTTGTTCTCAGCCTCCTTCCTCTCAAGTCCACCAAACCTGGATGCTAACATGGCTCTGTGGGGGAAAAGTCCCACGTGTGCTCAGCCCCGAGGAGCCCGACAGCAGCTCTGTGTTCCCCAGCCTGTCCGTGTGCTTGGAATGGGGCACAGGCTGCTGTGTGTGCAGGGACAGACCCTGGTCTCCTGAGGCAAGGCCTGCAGCTTGGGTTCCTTCCGGGCGTTGGGAGGAGCACCAAAGGGATTTGGATGCCAAAGGCCTTCAGCACCAAAGTCGCTTGGGTGCTTCTGGAACTGCCTGTGACCCATTGCTCTGTAGGATCGCAGCTGGATAAGCCAACCCTGAGCCTTCTCTTTCCTTCCTGCCCCTGCAGCTCCTCTGAAAGCCGCCCCGTCCCCGATGGGTTCTGGTGATGGTTCCCAGCAGGGCTGAGGAACTGCAGATGCAGGTGGAGAAGGCAGCCCATAGAGATGTTTTCTGACCCCAGGCGCTTTGCCTCGTGCTCCACAGGGCTGGGGTGGGAGGAGGACACTGGAGGGGCAGAGTGCTGGTGGTGCAGCCCCTGGGCCAGACCCAGCATTCACCATCATCACGGGCGTGGAAATGTTGGCGAGGGCTGAGCAGAACCCTGCCCGGGATGCTGCTCACCATTTATTGAAGTCATTCTGTTCGCTGTCCCTCTTTTTTTTCCCTGCTTAAATCAAACCCTAAACCAAAATAGAGAGGGGTGTTGGCTGTGCTCCCTGCAGAACCTCATCTCACTGCAGTCTTGATGGAGCGTGCAGGGCTCGCTCAGGCAGGGTGCACGCAGGGCCCCGCTGTGCCGCCTGGGGCTGCCGTGGCCGTGCAGCACTCGCAGCACTGTGGGTCCCACAGGGGTCCCAAGCAGTGGCTGTGGAGGCAGGAGGGGATGGGGCTCATCTTGCAGATATTTGTATTGTATAGAGCAGCTTATTTCTACAGACAAACATTTTTAAACTCCAACAAAGTATGCAGTAATTTCAGTTCCGGTTTTTGTGACTTTTTTCAGGGATCATTTCAGTGCATTTCTGTATAAAATAAAAATTTAAGGAAAAAAAAAGGATTTTGAAGTCTATTAGAAAAAAAAGCATCTTCTGTACATAGGCAAACAAGAATCTTCTCTTCAAACACTGTTTCTTGTAGAAACATGTTGAAATTTTTTTGCTGATTTCTTTGTACTTCAAGAGCATGTAAATAATTTATTAAAAGTGACTATTGTAATTTGGAGTTCTTTTTAAACAGATCCCAGCTCTGTTTCATGGCAAGGAGATGGGGAGGAAGAAGGACTGAGGATAGCAAAGGAGCTGGTGGCATTTACAGCTTGTGTCAAGCTTTGTATAATGTAAATTCTGTACAAATACGGGGGTTTTGTTTTTGGCTTTTTTTTTTGTTGTTGAATAAATAGATGGAATTAGCAGCATTAAGAAACTGAAGACAAAAATTTGCCAAGTCGAGGCTTCTTCCTTGCCCCTCCCCCCAGTCTGAAACCTAATGTGCAAAATCTATTTATTTCAAGCGAGGAAATGTGTACAGTCTAATAGACATCCTGCAATGTATTTAAGCGAGTTTGCAACTGGATTTATTTTTTTTTTTTTTCATTTTAATATTTGTTTTTATGAGTTTCCTCCTTAATTGCCACTGTAGTATTTGTTTGAGTGAAAAGAAACACGTTGTGACGGACGCACAGGGGCAGGCGGTGAGGACGGGGAGTTGCTCCCTGCAGCGCTCCGGTTCCGTGGCAGGTTGTTTTATTTCACGGTGTGAAAATAAAGGGCTTCCTTTAAAAGGGGGCAGGTAAAATGGTTTGCAATAAATGAATTATTATTTTTTTAAGTTCCTTAAAAAAAAAAAAAAAATCTCTGCTTTGAAGATTTAGGGTTTCTGCTTTTTCTTTTTTTAAGCAAATTTATAAATTTAGGGATGTTTTGTGCATATAGAATCCGTCACCAGTATGTATCTTGTTTTGAAGAAAGTGTTTTTGTTGTGGATGTGTCATGCTGTATATATTTGTTCATATTTTTGTGAATTGAATACTATGTACCATTGTATTATAGTAACTTTTATAAAGCAAACCATAAATATACTGACTTTTCTTACAGAAAAATTATGTTGTGCTTCATGTGTAGTCGGGGCTTTGTGCTCCTGGACCTGTGCTGGGAACTGGGAGAGCTGAAAGTGTCCATCAGAGCAGGCAGGCACTGACATGAAGCATCGTCACACAGCTGTGGCACGGAGGAAGTGTGCGAGCTGGTCAAGTTTGTGACCTTCAAGCTGCATTAGCACTAAGGCTCTGACACAGCCCTGCACTGAAGTGAAGCCGCCATGCATGGCTGGTGCAGGAGCAGTTGCACTACGTGTGCCTGCATGGATTCCCACCTTTGCAGATACCAACTTCAATGTTTTCTGGCCTGAGTTTTGGAAAAAGAGATGCCCAAGGCAGAGGTGGACGCAGCAGCTGATAGAGGAGGAAAAGAAGCTCGTGCTGCTGTGTCTTCTCCTAGTTTGTCTCTTACTGACTACAAGGGGGATGGGACCCACGGAGATGGTGCTGCCAGCATTGGAGCTGGGGGCATGGATGGGCTCATGCTGTGTCCTAGGAGCCTGAGCCATGGGCTCTGCTCAGGGCTTTGCTTGCATTCTGTGAATGAAGGGAGCTGCAGTGGGTGCTGTGAGGATTCAGAGTGCAGGTGCGTGTCAGCAGGGAGGCCCAGGGCCACCAAAGCACCCTGAGATGTTCTTCAGATGTTCCGAGGTCTGCGGGTCCACAGGGAGCATTCGAGGTTCATGAAATCATTGAATGGTTGGGTTGGAAAGGACCTGAAAACCATCCAGTTCCAACCTCTGCCAAGGGCTGGTTGCCCTCCGCTGGAGCAGGGTGTGCAGAGCCCCATCCAGCTGGCCGTGGGCACCTCCAGGGCTGGGACGCGCTCAGCAGGTATTTATTAGCAAGGCGTGTGACACAATGACAGCAGCTCCTGTCCTGGAGCCTCAGCTCTTCCCTGGCCCCCAGTGACCGCAGCACAGACTCAGCAGCACTCAGCTGTGACAGACGGATTTATTATGGCGGGGGGAAGAGTCCCCATGCAAGGGCTGTGACAGCACCCAGGGGGCGGGCAGTGGCCACAAAGCCAGCAATGTGTGGAGACACTCGGGAGATATTCCAGCCTTTGTTAGTTCAGGAGTTGCCAGGTCCCAGAGCGATGCCACGTTACACTGGTGGGAATGCTGAAGCCCATACCTTTGTTCACCTCATTCTAGAATGCTGTGGCTGCCCTAAAATCATGACTCAGGATTGAACCTGCATGTGTGCCACGAGTCTGTGCTGCTTTTGGGACTCGGGGGCTTGGAGGGGGTTGTGCTGGGGTGAAGGCATTGGCCGCGTTCCCTCCCCATGTGATGGGTCCTTCCTTGCCCATCACAGCTTGGCAGCAACATCCTGTTTGTCACGTGTAAGTTTGGGCTGTTGACAAAGCACAGCCAGTTCCCACTTTGTTTGTGATTCAGCTCCTCGTGGCCCAGTGCCACCGGCAGCCCGCACACCGCCTCTACATGCGCTTGGTCTCTCCGTTGGGGCTCAGGACAGTCAGGTTGCCTCGTGCATCCTGGTCAATTTCAATGGCTTCAAACAAGGACTTGAAGTTCCCGGCACCAAAGCCCTATAGGAGGATGGCATTACCCACGTTATGCCCTTAGTGTTCATCACAGCATCGTGGTGCTGGTGGCACTGGGTGCCGTGAGGTCCTCAGGCTGCCACTCAATGCTAAGGCCGCCTCTATTACTTTTAGCAGTGAAACCCTCCAACCAACCTGGTGGTTGTGCCGCTGGATGACCTCCAGGAACACCGTGGGTCTGTCTTGAACTGGTTTGGTGAAGATCTGGAGCAAGTATCCCTTCTCATCAAAGTCCACCAGGATTTTCAGTTCCTGGAGATAAGCAATAGGGAAACAGCTCTGAGATCCATCAGGAACAAGGGGATGGCCTTGCATTGCCCGGCTGCGCCCGACCCACCTCCAGCTCCTGCTGCCCCTGGACTCACCTCCAGCTTGTCAATGCTCTCCTTCACTTTGATCTTGGCAGTTTTCAGCCTCTCCCGCAGCAGTTGGTAGTAGCTGGATGGCACGTCCATGAACTGCATGCCACGCTGCTTCAGGTTGGTGATCTGCAAACCAGGAGCTTTGGGTTGGGCACGTGAGGACAGGAGGTATTGAGATGCAACTCAACACTTCCCCATTGCATTGTCCCGAGCGGTGCACGAGGACCTGTCCCACTCTGTCCCTTTGGGCCCAGCGTGGAGTTGGCCACCACACGAGGACTCCAACCATGAGGCATCACCCCCTGTGACAGGTCCCTGAGTGGGGCTGCCCCGGGGCCACTCACCGCCGAGATGATGTCGGGGGTGTTGAGTGCGATGTGCTGCACTCCGGCCCCTCCGTAGTAATCGATGTATTCCTGCAGGGAAACATCTCACTGCAGTGCCAGTGTGGCTGCAGCGCCAGCCCCGTCCCATCTCCTTCACGCCAGCCCTGTGCTGGTGGTGGTGACGGCCCGATCGCTGTGCTCACCTGAATCTGGGATTTCTTCTTGCCGTGTGCCGGTTCGTTGATGGGCATCTTGATGGTCTCCTCATAGTTGGTGACCACGATGGAGCGCAGCGCGCTGAACTCGGTGTGCAGCTGCTTGTCATCCACCGACCAGAAGCGGTGGAAGAGGAGGTTCTTCTGGTACCTGCCCACCCACAGCAGCCATGTTGCAGCCCCTCACACTAATGAACCTCTGCTCTGTGCTAATTGCCCTCGGCCTCCCCCCAGCCTGCCCTGCTCTCACCAGTCTGCTACCGGCACCATCTGGAGGTCGGGTTGGTTCCCCACTACATGGTCCACAAAGCTCAGCTTGGCGCTTGGCCTGCAGGGACACGGGGCAGCACTCAGCCCTGATGGCAGTCGGGTGGTGTGATCCATCCCCGTATTGGGACCCTGTGCTACTCACAGCCTGGGCAGCAGTGGGTCTCTGAAGAGGGGCGCGTGGTACCCAGGCAGGAAGAGCCCTTTGTAGTTGATCTTCTCCACCAAGGTGTGCGTTGTGTCACCGTACTGCGGCAAGGAGGAAGAGGCTCTGTGCCCATTGCTGCGATGTGCAGACTGCACTGCGTGTGGGGGGGGCTCAGTGCCCTCATCACTCACCGTCTGGATGACAGCGAACTTCACCTTCCCAAACTTGTCCTCCTCCACCCAGGGCTCCTTCACCACCACTGCTCCACGCTCCTTGGCTTTCTGAGCAGAGGAGAGTGCCCGTCCTGCCACATGCCCCCGGGGCCCTTCCCACACCAATGTGGGGACGTGTGGCCATGATACCCTGCAGCCCCAAAATCACTCCTTTTCCCCCAAACTCACCATTTCAGGGCACCCGCTGTACCTCGCACGCGCTGCCTACCTGCACGATGAAGTCACAGTCCTCCACCTCAAAGGCCACGTCCTTCACACCATCCCCGTGCTTCACCATGTGCTCACCCATCTCTGCCGGCAGCCGATGTGAGCGGGGACACCGCAGAGCGCCCACATCCCGGCCCCAGACCTACAGACTTACCTTCATTGCCCGGATTGAGCGCCGAAGAGAGGACAAAAATGATCTGGGGTGGAAGAGGATGGGAGGAAGGGTTGGTGATGGGAGGAATGATCTCACCACCGGTGCTCAGCGCATCCCGCAGCACTGCACACCTTGTCCTGCTTGATGACGTGTGACACCACCTCCCTGCTGCCGGTCTCCAGCCCGCGGTACGCCAGCTCCTCGAAGCCCAGCTTGTTGCAGTAGTACGAGGCGGCCTGCGGCACAGCACGGCGTGTGCATGGCTGTGCGGTGTGTATGGGGGCACTGGCTGCTCCCCGCACAGCCTTTCACCCCGCTCTGCGTGCAGCGGAGCATGACGCATTTTTGCTCTCCCTTTGCATTTTTGCCCCATGCACGCCCCTGACATCCACCTCCCCCTTGCGCAAGGGCTCAAGGCCGGGGCCCCGGGCCAGGGCTGCTGTCAGCACACACACACAGCCTTGCCATCCCCCAGCAGCCAATGACCACCGCCACCACCCCTGCGGCCTCCTACCTGCTTGGCATTGCCCACCCAGAAGGTGATGGAATGGAAGTGGATGAAGCGGCCTCGCTGGTGCTAAAGGGAAAGGGAAAAGAAGTTGTATGTGCTGCAATTCCTGTGGGTTGCGATTCCTTTGGGTACAGTTCCTCCAAATGGAATTCTTCCCAATGCAATTCCTGCAAGTGCACCCCAGTGACATGGATGAATCCCTGGTTCCCTGCCCTGATGATTTTTTGTAGTGTTTTCCATGCAGGCTGTTCTGTACACAAGGCACAGCGTTGGCTCTGGTTGCATGGAGCAAAGTGGCTGCAAAGCATCCAGGTATCAGCCAAGAAGTGAGCCCAGGTGCATCTGGTCCTATAGAAATGTGCAGTGGGAGGTTTGGGGTTTGGGATTTGGGTCACAGAGAAGGAGATGGCAGCTGCAGCCCAACCCTGCCACATGCCCTCATTAACCCTGCAGCGTTAACGATTCACCTGCAGCAAAGCACCTAGCACTTCACCACCACCACACCAGGAGAACCGCGGGGCAGCTATGGGGCTCCCAGCGCTGAGCACAGGATGGAATGCAAACCCAAGCAGGGAGCAGGGAGGCACTCACCTTTTCCCCTTTGTCTGTGTACGTCGTCTGCAAGAGAAGTGGGAGAAGCAGTGAGCGGGGTGTGAGGCTGAGGGGAAACACAGGGAATTTCTCCCACAAAAGTGCAGTTCTGTGCCTGCTCCCCAGCCCTCACCATGCTGTGACCCTGCAATGCGGCAGCAGCAAAGAAAGCGTGACCCTGAGTGCAGGGCTGATATACAGCAAAGGTGCTCCTCCTCCACCCCACCCCGTCCCGAGGGCACTGCTCAGCGCTGGGGACAGCAGTGGTGGCAGCGGGACAGGTGGGCGGTGGCACAGTGTCACCGATTGCACAGCCAAAGTCATCCCACGGCAATGACACTGTGCTGCCGCTCATGGGATGACACAGCTGCGTGACCCCAAGCAGTGCACAGCCGTAACGCTGTCACTCTATGGCAATGACACTGCTGTGTGACCCGTGGCACTGCCTGCTGGTGGTACTGCCGCGTCACTCCACAGAACGGCACAGGTGTGTCACCATGTAGCAGTGGCACTGCTGCATCAATCCCCTGGAGCTGCCGTCCCCACATCACCCTACGGAAACGGCACAGCTGCATCACCCCGCGGCACCGCCGCAACACCCGCCATCCCCGCCGTCACCCCTCGGCACCGATAACCTCGGCCTCCCCACGCGCTGCCCCCCGGCCCCGCCCCCAGCGCCGTGACCCCGCCCCCTCGTGCTCTGGCCCCGCCCCAATGTTCTCCCCTCCGACAGCGGCACTTCCGGTCCCGCCCCCTCACGCTCCGTGATGCACTTCCTGCCGCCGCAGCGCGGTGCGTACTGCCGCCATGTCGGAGGACGGGCCGAGCCGCGCCGTGACGCTGAGCGAGGTGCAGCAGTTGGTGCGGCGCAAAGACGAGCTGGAGGCGCAGATCCGGGCCTGCTACCAGCTGCTGGAAGACGTGAGCGGGGTGCGGGGCTCGGCGCGGGGCTCGGGGCGCTGCCGGCTGTCTCACCGCGGCCTTTCTCCCCTCAGCAAAAGGGCGTGGGCATGGACGGGCCGCTGGTGGACGCCGAGGGCTTCCCCCGGGCCGACATCGACCTGTACCAAGTGCGCACCGCGCGGCACAGCATCGCCTGTGAGTGGGGCCGGGCTGTTCGGCGTTGGCTGTGGGCGGGAAGCGGCGTGCGGGTCTCCTCGGGCTGCGAAGAGGGGCTCAGGAAGAACTTATCGCTGAAAGGAAGGTGTGTGTGGGGGGGTCGGCCTTTGCTCTCGGGTGAGCGGGAGGACGAGAGGCGGCAGGCTGGCATTGCGCCGCGGTGGGGGCAGGTTGGATACGTTTCCTCTCCCAAAGAGCAGCCCAGGGAGGTGGGGGGTTACGAGAGGTGTTGAAGAGCTGTGGGAACGTGGCACTGAGGGACGTGGGGAATGGGCTGGGGTGGGTTGTGGTGGTCCGTGTTGGTCCTTTCCAGCCATAGCAGTGCTATGATTCTGCTTCTTACTGAGCTTGGTGCCACCCGCAGGTCTGCAGAATGACCACAAGGCTCTGATGAAGCAGGTGGAGGAGGCTCTTCACCAGCTGCATGCCCGGGAGAAGGAGAAGCATGCCAGGGATGAGGCGGAGGCGCGGGCTGAGGCCATGAGCCAGAGCCTGCCGCCCGCCTTCGCCAAAGTCAATGCTGTGACTACAGAGTCTCCTGCCAGCACCTCGGTACTTTGCTGGGGATGGCAGTGGGGAGGGCTTCTTTTGGACCTAGGGAGGGGAAATAGAGGATGCATTGCTTTTTTTCTCTGCTAACAAGCAGGAATAAGCTGTGAGATACTGATTATTATTATCCCACTCCCACTTTATTCATTTTAAGTGTTTGTCAAATATTCAGTCACCTTCTCAACCAGTGTAGTCATTCTTGAAAGCTCCCATGGAGGGAGCTGCCCACATGTGGCAGTGTCACTGGGTTGGGATCAGAAAGTGCATGCTGTCTGCTGTGTCATGGCACCACACAGCTCTTACATGGCCTTGATGTTCATTGCAGCCTCAGTATTTCTTTTCTTGTAAAATAGGGCAGAGAAATGAGTACATACTTGTTTCTAAGGGAGAGGGTATATTTTTCAGTTGTCTGAATGCTGAGAAGTATGGTGTCCTAGCACAGCTTATGTGGCTGGAGGAAGTCTCCTGTGAGCAGGCAGTGTTACCTGTCATCAGAGAGCACAGATGCTCAGCTTCTTTCTGTCTGTCCAGGGCCTTCAGGTTGATGATGAGATTGTGGAGTTTGGTTCTGTCAATGTGCACAACTTCAAGAGCCTGCAGAACATTGCCACAGTAGTACAGCACAGTGAAGGGGTAAGTTTGCTTCTGCTGTAACTGCATTCTCTTACCTCTCCCAGTGAGCTACAGCATTTACTGTGGAATGGCCAGAGAAGCTGCCACAGCCATTGGGTACCTTATAATGGAAGTGAGAGAGCTCATCTTTCTTTTCTTTTTCATTTCCCCAGAGACCTCTGAGTGTGACTGTGATCCGCAACGGCAAGAAAGTGCACCTGGGGCTGACTCCGAAGCGCTGGGCAGGGAAGGGCCTCCTGGGGTAGGCTGCCAGTCAGAGCAGAGGGGGCTCCTGCTAGCCCAAGGCGCTCCCTGCAGCAGAGCCAGCTGTGATGTGTCTCACTGGCAGGTTCCAGCTGAGAGCTGGGGCTGTCAGTTTAGTGGTCATATGGGATGATGAGTTGTATCAAGTATGGGTATGGGGCTGAAGATCTCAATGGCTAGTTCCTCTAGTAGAGGAAACCAATGGGGAGGGTTGTGGTTGATAGATTCACAGTGTCAGATCATCTGAGCTTCTTTCAGAGCTGAAACAAATGTTTTCTTCTCCACTCTTCTTTTTCAGCTGCAATATCATTCCTTTGCAGAGATGACCACTGCTCAGAAGACAATAAAGACGAAGGTTGTGCCTGCTTTCTGGACTCTGATTTGATTTGAAAGCTTGCCTTATGATCTTTGTTTTTGCTGAAATGAGCATTTCAGAGGCTGTGACCTCTGGGTGGCTGGGCTTGCAGAGTCTGAAGAGATTCTAATGGAGCAGGGCCTTAATGCAGTTGGAATTGCACTGGTTTGTGAGGAGCAACTCGCAGAGTTGCAGGATGTGGTTTCTCATCTCGTGCCTTGCATCAGTTTGGAGTAAGGCTGGAGTGTAACTTAGATTTCACTTGATACTGATTTGGAAGAGCATAAAATGCTTTTATTTGGTGATAACATGGCATTCCTTCTTTTTTTTTTTTTTTTTTTTTTCCTCTCTCCTTGGAATTCCTCACTGAACGTCTTGTAAAATAGGATTAAAAGTCCTGGAACAATCTTTTCTTTTTTTAACTTAGTAGATCACAGTGAAGAAATGTGCAAATCTGGTACTTTATCTTTCCCTTGTGACCATACTGTTGGAAGTCACTAAGTAAGATAGCATTTTTGGAATGCCTAATTATTTTAAGTTAATGAAATAAGCATTGGGGTTATAACTCTGTCTTCAATTGTATTGAAGTACTCCTACATTTTTTTTAATTTGCTGCAGTTGATTTTAGGATGTATAAACACTTCAGGGGGGTTTGGGGTGATCTTGTTTGAAGGTTGTTTCCAGTTGAACTTTGAAATACTCATCCCAATGAATAAAACTGAGTAATGTCTCTCTCCGTTCTTGTGGAAGTTGCTGTCTGGGGGCAGTAATTGTGGGCCGTGTCAGGTGTGTTAAAAGCAGATCTGCAGAGGCATAAAAGCATTCTTCCATGACCTTCTGCAGCCAAAGATTTGTTTGGTGCAACAAAGCAGAATGTAGTTGTAAGCATGTGGATGAGTGGTGTGCTGGCAGCTCTAATGTCAGATCAGCTGGAGCCTGGCCTTGGCCTTGTGTGCTCGAGGTACGTGTCTTCGTACCCCAGGTATGCAGCTGTTGCCTGAGCTGCAGGCGGATCTGGGTCTGCATGCTGGTCGGGAAGAACAGCTTCCAGGCCTTTGTGTGGGTGCCTCCTGGGATGAAGTGCCCTAAAATTCCTGTCTTTCCCTATTGCTTGTGCAGTGAGGTTAATGGGTCATCCCAGCACAATGGAGGGAGCTAAAACTCCTGCTCTCAGGGGACTCATTTCCCTGTCGCTGTCGAGTGTGACGCTGCAGTGACTTGACAAAGCTCTGTGGAGCTCTGTAGAAGTGCATGTCCTGGCTGTGCGCTCTGGTCACTGTTCCCATTGGTGATGGGACTGGATCAACTCCAGCAAGTAAAAAAACATGGTTCCGTTGCAGAGCATCATCTTGCACTCAGTAAAATGTTTTTTTGGGACTGCCCCTGTTTATTCACCACTGATTGTTTTCAGTCCACTTCCTTGGGTCAGAACTTTGTTCCTTAAGCCATAATTCCCCACTCACCCAATGCAGCAGGTTGGACGGAGCGCACGGCGGCTGCGCGGCAGCTCCTCAGGTTGCCGAGATGGTTTGTGCTGATAATGGAATTGCTTTCCTCTCCCAGCAGGGCACCAGGCTCGTGCTGGGCAGAAGGAAAAACAAATTAGATTTAGAAATTGTTATTATTTGAGCTTAATAGCGTGTCTGAAATAGGCAGCTGGGAGAGCCTGGAGCTGATTAGAAGGCAGCAATGACTCGGGGTGGTGGCAGAGAGCTGCACCCCCGTGTGGGCATCATCCTGATGGAGTGCTTTGTGCAGAGGGTCAGTGCTGCCTCTGTAGGGCAGCTGGTGGGGATAAAAAGGGGACGTGGAACAGATGCAGAGTGGATGAGCCCATCTCACAGCGCTTTCCAGTCTGTCGCTGGCAGCAGCCGTTGCAGCCGTTGCCCGGGGAACAGCAGTTGGATTCAAACAGAAGCGTCAGGCGCAGGGAGAGCCTGATCAGAGCTGGGCAGCAGGGCTCTGCCTGCCTGCTGGTGCTCAGGAAAAGTGTTCCTGGGACTGAAAGGGTGCTCCGGGACCCATGGGACTCAGCATCCCACGTGCCCTGTCCTCCTCCTGTGGCCAACTGGAGTAAAAACATTTTGGCGGCTTCTTGGACAGAGGCTGGAGGTGGGGATGGCTGGTTCAAGTGACACTGCACCGAAGGAGTCGTCCCCAGATGGACAGATGCATCGAGAGGCAGCAGTGCCACCCCAGCAGGTGAGAGCAAGCTGTGCCTGGTGCAGGGTGCCTGGACCCCGTCCCAGCGCTGGGACAGTTTGTCACCGGTGTCCCCTGGGGACACAGAATGGGGATCTCATGCTGCAGTGTCTTCCCTTGCTTGGGGATGGGATGAAAAACAGCCCCATGGGTGTCATTTGGAGCTGCAAATTGCAGAGTTCAGGTGAATGGCAATTTCCATTCAGCTCCTCCCATTTCCCCTTCAGATATTAGGTGTTATTATTTGTTACTGTTCTGACAGTTGGGCTGAGCCTACAGTATTTGCTGAGCACTTGAGCTGCCTCTGAGTTATGTGTGTGATGTGATCCTGACCTTGGGCTGAATTAAATGTTACCTGACCTGACCTGGAACCATGGCTACAGCATCCATGCTAAGCTCACACCATGGAGAAAGCAAGGGGCCCTGTGGGAAGAAGCAGAAACTGATCTGGAGCCACAAGAGAAGGGACTCAGAGCAAGGAACACCTCCTTGGATCCCCCCTGGGATGTTTAACTCATTTATGAGAGGCAGTGGGATTTTTCTGCTTTCATTTTTTAGCTGCTTACCAGTCAGCACATTTCAGCAGATCCCTTTTTGTCTCTCAGCCCTGTCCCATGACACGATCCCCTTTTTTTCACTCCATTTTGCCATCATACCTTTGTCCATCTGTAACTGGTGTGTAGGACATGGCAAGGGAAACAGCAAAAAGAGCAGCTTCAGGTCCAGGAGCAGCGCGGACTCCAGCATCTCTCCGTTCCCAGGACTCCATGGCTGCTGCCCAGGAAGATGGAGCTCTGGGAAATGCTGCAGCAGCTGCACCTCAGAGGGCTCCCGGTGAGCTGGAGGAGCGCAGCGATGCTCCCAGCCGTGTGTGGGGTGCGCAGCCTGGCCTGCTATTCCAGGGAGAGAAGCAGAGCTGCCACCCTCTCGTGAGTATTACTGGCCAGGGGAGCAGCCCTGGGACACCCTGCTCTGCCCCATTACCCCGGGGATTTGGAGCAGTCTTTCTCCTACTACTAAGAACCTCTTCTCCCCACAGAGCCTGTCCTGGGCACTGGGCTACAACAGCAGCCTGGCTGTGCATAGCATTGAAGATGGGATGCTGCTGTATGCCTGTGCCCACACAGCGGTCATCCACGATGTCCTTGGCAGCAGGCAGTACCACCTGCAGGTCTGCAGGCCTCTTCTATCCCCGAATGCCTTTTTTCCATCCCTGGGCCTGGTGGGGTGGCCACGAAGGTGGTTTGGGGCTGCTCAAAGTGGGGCCAGGAGGAGGAAAATGGAAGACTCTCGGATGGGAAGATGGGAAATTCCTCCAGCCAAACTGCTCTGGAGCTCCCAGGTGCTTCTCTCCTCCTTCCCAGGGTCACGCAAATGCCATCTCATGCCTGTGTGTCAGTGAGGACAGGCGCTGGGTTGCCACTGCTGACCAAGGTCCAGACCCTTTGGTCATCATATGGGATGCCTTTTCTGGGTGAGCCTCCATGCAAACCTTCCGTCTCCTTCATAGGGACAGCACTGTCTGTTTAACATCCCATTCCAGCAGACACCCTCCTGTCTGCACATTCTGCCAGGAGCCCATGATGGTTTTTCCACACAGGATCCCTGTGCGCACCATCTTTGACAGCCATGCAGGCGGTGGGATCTGCACTATTGCCATCTCCCAGGATGCAAGGTGTTTGGTTACCATCAGTGCTGGCATGGTGCAGGTGAGGATATTTCCTCTTTGTGTTTCCTTTTTCAAGGGTTTTCTTGTGGGTCGAGATCTTTCTTGCTAAGCCATTGGGGGATAGATTGGGACTTCATTAAAAGGAATGCTGCAGAGCTGAGAGAAGGTCTGAAATTGGGATGAAAACTTCTGACTCTGCTGTACTCACGTTCAGGCAGCTCCTCACGCTGTTTCCTGAAATTAAGCCATCCAGCCATGCTGGGTTATCCTGCTCCAGCCTTTTTAGCCCCTCATGCTCTGCAGCTGGAGAGGTTGGGGCTTTACTCAGCCAAGCAGGAAATTCTCAGGAGGCCACAAACATCTCCTGGTTTTTCCCCAAGAGGGTCTGTGTGTGGAGGTGGACATATCCTGATGAGAGCCCCGTGTGTGACGTGGAGCTGAGCCCTGAGTTTGGCTTCCAGGTGAGGAAGCCACACTTTGCTCAGTGAAAGAATAAGCAGGAAATATCACTGCTTGCTATTAATGTGACTCTCACCCTTTGATTACAGGATTTTGTCATTTTTAATCCCCAAAATCCTTATGAGTTTGTCAGCAACAGCAAAACCCAAGTGATATTTTATCTGTGGGTGAGTAGGACAACAAAAAGTTCATCTCCTGGTACCTGATGTGCTCCCTACCTCTCCCACTCATGCTGCCATGGGTGTTTGGGTGCCTCTGGTGGTCACAGCTTCTGGGAGAGGAGCAGGGGTGGGGAGATGCATTTCCATGGCTCTGAGAGATTAGAGAAGGTAAATGTCTTTGTGTGGATACATGCTCTGCTCTCTCTGCAGGGCGATGCTGGTTTGCAGTACAGCACTCCTTCTTTGACCAAGCAGGTGAGTGCATGGGGAGCCACAGGGACCCACAGCAGCCCTGTCCCTTCCTGTGCCAAAGTGGTGGCCGTGTCCCCAGTCTGTCCCCTGGGTTTCCTAAGGGGACAAGAAAGATTGCCCAAGATAAGGCCAGGAGTGGCATCTCCTGCATACATCATTCTATCACAGAATGGGTTGGGCTGGGAGGGAAGCTTAAAGCCCATCCAGCTCCAACTCCTGCCATGGGCAGTGTTGCCAGCCACCAGATCTGGTTGCCCATGGCCCCATTCAGCCTGGCCTTCCGGGGCTCTACTCCCAGTGGCCACGTGCTGGCGATGGTCCCACCATGAGGCAGGGAGGGAATGTCACATGGAGGAACCAGACGGGAGCACCAGCACCCAGCACTGACCCACCACTGCTCTCCTGACAGACCTTTGGCAGCGCAGTGGGGCACTTCACCCAGTCAGCTTTCCATTTCAACGCCACGCAGGTGCTGACGGGCACCTCGGCTGGGAAGATGGTGGTGTGGGATGTGGAGAGAAAGCGGGAGCTGTACAAGGAACCGCAGGGCAGGGTGCATGGCATGAAGGCCAGCAAGCTGGTGCCGATGCAGAAAGAAAGCCTGACAGCGCTGATGGTGTTGGAGAAGTAAGGAGATGACGTCGTCTGTACGGTACAGTCCTCGGGAAGCTCGGGGCTTGGCCGTGGGCTCGGAGCTGTGCTCGGCCTCCGGGGCTCTGCCGGCAGAGGGAGCAGACGGTCTCCGAGCAGCTCGGGATGGGGCGCAGCGCTCCTGTGCTTCTCGTGCTTTTGGGCAGAGAAAGGGCAAAAGGGAAGAGATCTTCCTTGACTTAGCGAGTTCCCCGTTGCGAGTAAATCTTTCCAGGATATTCTGATGGCTTCATCACACTGTGCTCCTCACGGTCAGTTTTTATCTTTCCCATGGGTTGCACTGGTGGAACAGTGCAAGAACAGGATGGACCTGAGCCATTTGGAGCATGAATTCTCCCACCCAATAACACTGTGCTTCCTTCCTTCCAGCTGCATAGTGACAGGGGATGTGAGAGGCCAGGTGAAGTTCTACAATGGGCACCTGCAGCTCCTGGCCTGCTATGACCACAGTGGTACGGGTCCCATTCGATCCATCTCCTTCTCCAAAGCTCCTCCAGATTCTCCAGCTGCCCCTTCTACCAGCAGCCACCCCTTCGCTGCTAGGTGAGCATCCCTGTGTAAATGCAGCTCTTCTGCATCCTCCAGCACTGGTCACAAAGTGTCCCCAGCACATCCCCGGCTATGAACTGGCTGCCACGTCTCAGCGCTGGAGAAGTGTTAATGCTGGCATGGGGACAGCTAGCTGGGCATGGAGCCGAGCAGCTTGTCACGCAGCTGGTACACCATGCAGGGCTAATGCTGAGCCCATGGCTCCCACCAAGCCCCTTAATCCCCTGCTTAACCCTCCCCCAGGTGGCTATTTCGAGTTGTATTTTGTCACTGCTGGGTGAGATAATCCAGGTGGTGGTGAGGAGAATGCACGGCCTGGGGGCTTGGGGCAGCAGCACCACAGGGTGCCTGAGGAGCTCTGCGAAGTCTGCAAACCAGATGCTGTGTTGTTTTTGGGGCTGCAAACCACATGTCTGTTAGTCCTGCCTGAAGTTCTGCTGGCAGCATTTATCTGTAGCTGCTCGTTTTTCCAAAGAGCCACATGGGACAGGTTTCTTTGTAAGATGGAGCCCTGGGAGGTGTCTTTTATCCCACACCAGTTATTGCTGTAGCCTCAGGTATGTCACCATGCCCCAGTTCCTAGGTTCACCCCTGATCTTCTATCAGAATCCAGGCTTCATCCCTGGGTGTGCTGATGGCAGTATGCACTTATTCTGTTGTACATGTGGTCATTTAGATGCCTGCTTTGCCCACTGCCAGTCATACAGGACCATCATCACCATGCTGCAGCTGGGAGGGCTGAATGCACAACTGCAGGCCGCTGTCCACATCACAGCTCCTACGCTGTCCCCTGTCCTCCTCCATGATACCACGGCCAAGTCAGAGACCCTACCTATTGTGACATGTGACAGGACTATTCAGGGAACCCTCAATCTCTCATTTGTCCATCTCACACATCAACAAGCCTCAAATGGCAAAAGCTGACCAGATGTTCTTCTGCCTTGCATACCCTAGTAGAAAAGGGAGCTCCAGTGTCTTCTGCTGGAGACTTCTCAGGTCGTGAACACAAAGTGCCACCTGTCTTCCAGGTCAAGAATTCTTTGCATATTTTGTATTAGAACATATCACGACTGTCCAGCTAAGTTGCCAAGAAGAGGCTATGTAACATTGCTCAGAGGGATATGAGCCAGCTAGTCTGATTCATCTAATTCTGTTTTTCTCACACCAAACAGGAACTTTATCCTTTCAACCTCTGATGCAACAGTGCTCCGTGTTGTGACAGATGGGACAGACTTTGAAAAAGTCATGAAAGAGGCCAAGAAAGCAGTGACTGCCATTGCATGCCATCCTCAACAGCCACGGCTTGCCATGGGCAGTCACTGCGGGCTGCTGAAGGTGTGGGACTACCAGCAGCCCCAGCTCCTCATGAGCAGGATATTCCCCAGTGCTGGAGTGCAGTGCCTGTCCTATGATCCTGCAGGTATCTTGAAGCTGTGACTTCCCGAAGTACCAAGCATGGAGGTGGGAGTGCATTGGGATTTCAGCTTTCTGCTGGGCTTTGCAGGCTCCTTCCTGGCTGCCGGTTTCACCGATGGGAGTGTGCATGTCCTCGATGCCATTTCCCTGCTGTCCTGCTGTGAGGTGTTCAGGTTCTCGCGGGGCCCCATAACTCACGTCCAGTTCTCCCATAACTCCGAGTACCTCGCAACTGCTGTAAGCTTGCTCATTCCTTCCTGAGATGTACATGTGCATGTGCTGTTCCTGGTGCAGCCCTAGGAGCTGGGAAATGCCACGGGCTCGTGCTGCACTGACTTCTGCACTCTCGTTCCAGGATGAAAAATATGCAGTGACCGTTTACAAAAGGGTTCTGCAGAATGAGCGTAGGTGCTGGGAACACCTGGCAGGGCTGCACTCCCACTACAAGCCCATCCGGAGCATCCTGTTTGGGATCCACCTGGACGGCAGTGAGCCCCGGCTGCTGAGCCTTGGGGAGGACAGGCAGCTGGTACAGCCGTGGGAGGACAGCACTGGGGCTTTGGGCTTGAGGTGGGGCTGGAGGAGAGTGTGAAGGGACACTCAGCCTGTGACTCTGCAGCTTCCCACCAGTTCCAGTTGTTTGTCAGCCTGGCAAACTGGGGCAGATCTGTAGTTGGGATGATCTGGGTTTCAGGGTGTTCACCCTCAGCAGCTGCTCCTTGTGGTTAATCCATCAGGTCCACTGTGATGGCAGGTCACTGTGCTTCCTGGTCTTTCCCCCAGATTGAATATGACCTGAGCAGCAGCAGCAAGGACCAGCTGGTGGTCCTGCACAGACATCGTGTAGAGCAGGCTGCAGTGCCCCTCTGCTTGGCCTGGTATCCACATTTCAGCACCGAGTCCTTCATCCTCACAGCCAACAGCTGCTACAAAATGAAGCTCTACAATGCAACGACCAAAATGTGCAGGTAGAGAGCCTTCCTTCTCAGCAGATCATGGCTGCAAGTCACCTCAGTCTACCCATGGACTTGGGATGCAGCAGTCGGACACAAGATGGTATGATAGGAGCCCACAGAAGCAGCAAAGAATGATCTCTGAGCACTACATTTCTCTCTTAGCTCTGATGTGGTTCCCTCTAGACAGGGATCATGTCCTGTCCTGGTGTTACAAAACCCCACACCTTCCCTCATCCACCCATCCTGGTGCACCACAGACATTCAGACATGGGAAAATACGTTGTGAGAATGGGTGACAATGTTGTTTGCCTTTAGAAAGACTCTTCTGGGACCAACCTATGGCTCGCCATTGGAGAAGATGCGAATCCTCCCAAAGAGTGCTGCACAGCCCCAGAAGCACTACCTGGCATACATTACCAAGGACAAGGTGTGGGGCATCAACATTCTGCCATCTGTGTATTTGTGGAGCATTTTGGGCTTGGCTGGGGGGCTGAAGGAAACCTGTGCTTGTAGGGACCAGAGAAGCGAACACTTGCAGGATGGAGGCATTTAGAAACTCCTTCCTTTAGACAAGGCTGGTCACTGAGGGCACGGTATTGGTTCAGCCTTCCTGAGCAGCCCCTGCCCTCACCATCTGCTCTTCCCATACAGGTGGGCCTGCAGATTCTGCCCATTGATGGCAACCCCCACAAGTCCTCAGCTTTCATTTGCCACCCAGATGGTGCCTCTGACCTGGCCATCTCCTACGATGGGCACTACATCTTTACGGCTGGGGGGAGTGACCGCACTGTTCTAAAGTGGGAGGTGAACCTGAAGTGAGTACCACAGAATGGAGAAGGGAGCCTGGGAGTGGCTTTCCACAGCTGCTTCACACAGCCAACAGTCAATGGGGAGCTGACCTAGCTGCTAGTGGCTGTTGTCAGTGACTGAGCACCTACAAAATACTGCGGTCTGGGAAATGCCAAATGCCAAGACGTGGAGGGTTGTCAGGTCCTTGTGAGAGCCTGGCTGCTGCGATGGGGATTGCCTGGGGTAGAAGATCAGGAGGGAGCATATGGTACAACAAGTCTGCTCTCCAAATGGGAGAGGCCAGCATTTGTGAGGAAATCCCTGCTGCATTTGAAGGCTGGATTTAGCACAAGCCACTGTAATCCTATAAAGCTTTGCTTACATGAGTAAGAGGACTGCAGAAAATGGAGTGGCTGAGGTGCCCTGGGCTCTGGTCCATGATGCCAGGACATGGGTTTCTGTTGCTGCCTTGTCAAGGAGACCGGTTGCCTGATGGGTGTGCACTTGAGAAGGGAGCAGCAGCAGCCAGTGACCTAAAAACAGCTGTGGTCTCCTATTTTTGCCTTTGGGGTGCACTGACCCTCTGAAATGCCTTTCATCTTCCAATGAGGAAGGCTCTGCTGCTAAGCACAGGATGGTCCCAAATAAGATGCTTCCTGCAGGTGCTGCTCACAGAGCTGAAGGTTGCAGTGCTCACTCACCTCTACACACCACAACAGGGAGACCTGGCTGCGAAGGCACCAGGCTTATTTGTTTTCTTTTCCACTTTGTGTGGCTTAAGCAGTCGGGGGTCAGAATAAGCGACGTTTTAAGGAAGGCAGTGGAATATAAACGATCCTTCTTTATAATGGTTGGCCAGAGTCCAGGCAACATTGAATTTCTGTGTAATTTGTTTTTGGAGCGGACGTCTTGATGAGCTAATTATCATTTTATTGCTGCTCCTGGCATCTTGCGCATCTCCACTGTGTTTAATACCCAAATAACTTAATTATGAAAAAAGCATGAAGCTAGCAAAAGCTGAAGCAGCACTATGGAGCTGTGCATCAGAGCTGCAGCCCTGCTACCAGCACTCGGGCTGCTTTGGCTTAATATGTGCAGCACCTGTGGCACCATCACTCGCTCTTGTACTGAGTTATGGGGGAAGAATGTGTCAGACCAAGGAGTGGGGAGCTTGGCTTCGTGTTGTTTCTTGCAAGCACCAAGCCCCAGTGCTCCGCATGCTCAAAATGCTGATCCAGCCAATTCATCTCCCTCAGTGTCTCTATAAGGAAGCAGGAAAGCAGAGTGCCAGATACCCAGCTCAAGTCCATGGAAAGGCTGCTGGCTCCCCGCCCTGTGCTCATTCCACTAAACAAGAGGACCATTCAGCAATAGTTAATTCCCACACTGTGCTATTGTATGTAAAACCTGGGTATGAAATATGCTGTAGAAGTGCAGGCTGGTGATAAAATTGCACGTGGTTCAAAGCAGTGCCTCCCCTTCCTGCGTCCTGCAGCCTGGGGATTTTATTTATTTATTGAAAGTGTCTCCAAACAATGACTAGAAAGGGAAATGAGAATTCTCTCCCCGTGTGAACCCTTCCTGCACCGCCTTCTCTCTGTGCCAGTGCCTTGGAAGCTGCTGCATCCCTGGGTGGGGAGGACCTGGTCCCGTTCTACAGACTGCTGGAGGGCGGCCAGGACGGTGAATTCTTCAGGGTAATTGCACTCACTGTGATCTCCGTGCTGCAACATCTGGTTGGAGTTCAAGATTCATTTATACAGGCCTGACATTTCTTTATTTTTTGTCCAGATTGCCTTTAACAGCGGTCTCATTGATATGACTGTTAGTAAATCTTAAATGAAGCCTTATCTTCCTCGCCTGTTGGTAGCTGAACTTTACAGTATCTCGTTTGAATCCCTCGCAGGAGCTGGAAGACTATTTCTACTATGTGCAGCTGCGCAGCCATGGCATTGATATGCTGGAGAGCAGGCAGGTGTCAACGTACATTCCCTTGGAGGAAATTCCTTCTGTAATGAGAGCAATGGGTTTTTACCCATCTGAGGAAGAGGTCAGTCCTTTGTTTTTATGGTTGTGCTTAAATTTAAAACAAAACAGAACAAAAATACACACAGAAAAAACCTCAAAAAATGAGAATGATTGCATTTCAGTTTGGGCACTAGGATGAAATCATTCACCCAAAGGGCTGCCAGGCACTGGCACGGGCTGCCCAGGGAGGCAGTGGGGTTGCTGTCCCTGGAGCTGCTCAGGAAAGGTGGGACATGGCTACTGGGCATAAAGGGCATGGATTTGGGTTGGACTTGGTGATCTTAGTGGTCTTTTCCAACCTTAATGATTCTTTGACTTACTGAGTGCCCTAGGGCCAGATTCAGATGTTAGGCGTATTAGATGGCTCCAGGGAATATGCACTGTGCTTTGCTCCCTCTGTGACTTCCAGGAGTGTTTGAACTTGTTCACTTCTTGTTGGGCTGTGCGCTGAGGCTGTGGCTATTAGGAGTACCACCAGGTCAGGTCTGAATCCTCCGTGCAGTACACTGTGGGTAGAAGCACTCAGTTCTGTGATTCTGGGTGTTGACAGAGCATCTTTTTCTTGTTCTGCCTTGGGTTGCTCAAAGAATAATTTTAGATGGAGCCAGCAGCCTTTATTCCCATGGAACTTAAAGCTTTTTCATAACTGATAACTGCAGACGCTCTCTCTGAGCTTGCCTTTCAGGCTGCAGCAGTGGAGCTTCCTATCAAACATTTCTCAAAAGCTTTTCAGCCTCAGATTTTACAGCAGGCAAAGACAAGCAATTTAATAAGGGTTCTGCTGCTTCTCTCTTTGTAGCTGTTTCTACGAGGCTGTTTGCATTGTATACAGACCTAATTTGTAATGTTACAACCTGGTAAAAGGGCAATTAAAGCACATATGAAAAAAAAAATAATTGCTGAATCTGAAGTAAGGAGATTTAAACAAGCTCCTCGAGCCCCCTACAGCCCTACAATGTACAAGAGGTTCCTGGGGGAAGCAGCACATCCCTGTGTTCCTCCCTCTCCTCCCCAACTCCCCAGGGATGTTCTTCCAAGCTGGAACTGCTTTGTCCTTGTGTCAGGCTGTGGTGTCATTCCCTTGCAGTTTGTTTGAACTTCTCCTTGGCTCATTGTATTTTTTGCCTCCTGGGGACAGAGAATAGGTATTCCTCTGGGAAATGTCTCTGGAGGAATGGCTGTTAGCCCTCCACTCAAATCAAAACCACAACACTATTTCAGGAATGGAAATAAGTGCTAAACTGCTGCTGAGTGTAGGCAACTGACAATCTGCTTTCCAAAGCAGGCAGGACAGCATTAAAATACAGAAAGTCTGTCTCTCTCTGGAGTGTTTTAATAAAGGAAAAACAGAAGGGAGAAAAAAGCAGCTTGGACTGAGTAGCGAGGCTTTTGGGAATTGGTGTTTTTCCTTTGTAGTTCAGTGGGGCTGATATAAAACCTAATCCCAGATCAGCTAGAGCTGACTCAAATTGGCTATTCTCACCTGGCGCGGTGTTTGCTGCAGGAAAAAAAAGGAGAAAGCTGAGATTTCACTCTTCCCTGGGCTTCATTCAGTGGAAAAACTTGTGACAAGAGGACAAAGGCCCAAGGCTGAACACGAAGTTCTCCCCAGGGAAGTCTTGCATCAGCTTCCCCTCCTGGGGCAGCACGTTCAGTGCACTCTGGCATGGGAAACTGATCGTATTTGTGTGAGGGGCTGCTCCATTGGGCATGAGCACATGGAGGACACTGAGCAGAAGCCCTAAGGAAAACCACAGGCACTAAGCACGGCTGGTCACCAAGAGCAGAGCAAAAGACCCAGCTGCTCCTGTCAAGGCGGGTACAATAAGGGGGCACAATCGCCGGCACCCGCAGGGGTGTGTGGTTGCCCTCTGCAGCCTGCTTAGGTCAGGACTCCATGCACAGTCTTCTCTGGTGGGCTGGTGAATTTACCGCCCTGTGGTTTGCTGCCTGCGGTCCCCAGAGTGCAGGCACAGCTGCGGCAAGGGTACGGGTGACAGCTGCGAAGTCACGGGGTGCTCTCGTCGCTCAGTCCCTGGGGAAGGTTTCTTCCCCATCTCACATTAGTAACATGTAACAACCAGGGCAAAATGCTTTTCTGAAAGGGACAGAGACAGGCCAGAATTCTGCAGGAATTACGCTGTTGCATTATCACAGTTTTGAGCAGAAAGATCTCACTGACCCTTGTTTCATTCTAGAATAACTCACTGGCAACACTGAGGACAATCGCACACACACTAATAGAGGAAATCCAAACTAACTACATATTTGCTACCCCCATCTTTAGCTAAGGACATAAGAACGAGCACATAACCGTTCGTCATGTCCACCCTCAGCTGCTGAGCTGATCGCTGGGCTGTGGCTGTGACACCTGCAATGCACACAGCCATGGCACGCTGCCATTTGTGGCACTGGAAACTGGCCCGATGCCCTTCAACAAGCACATGTGTAACAGTCTTTCTCGCCTTCATTTTCAGATCGAAGAGATGATAAATGAAGTAAAATTCAGTGAGTTTGTGGATACCGGAGAACAAGTGACAAAAATCAATTTAAGGGATTTTATCAAACTTTATATAAATCATCGGCCCGCATTTGGCTTGTCAATGAAAACAGTACAACAAGCATTTCAGGTCCTTGGTTATGAGAATGAGAATGGCGACAAAGTTATTGACAGAGGAGACTTGCTGTCACTCCTACAGTGCAGGGGTGAGTTATTTCTTTTCTGATATTAGTTTTACGCTTGCTTGTTCAGTCTTCAATTTCAGAATGTATTCACTGCAGCAAAAAATTAATGTGAAACTATAGCTTGGTAACCAGGGCAGGCATGGGGAGCCACCCGCCTTAGGATTTTAAATTGAATGATCACGCCTGTTGTCTCAGCTGTACTTCTCTTGCTGCTCTGGAAATCTCTGCTGGCCTGAAGGATCTCATCTGTCAAATGATGAGCACGGATCTTGGCAGATCATATCTTCCTCTAGTATGCCCCTATCCAAATTAGCATCATCTTCACCAGTCACGTAGGCTCCAGAAAGGTTACAGAAAGCTGGGATGAAAATGGTCAGCCTTGGACTGAAATCTGAAAAGATGCGTTGGTTTAATTCAGCTGAATCAGAAAGAATGGCACGAGTATACATATAAACGTACTTATAGCCAATGCCAGAGTGATAGATCATGTAGTCCTAATGGCATGCTCCTGCTGTCAAAAAAGAGAGATTTTGGTGAAGCTGAACACTAAAATGGGTAAAGGGAAGTGCTTCTTTTACTCAGTACATCACCTGCTAATACTTACAACAAGGATCTGTGTAAACCAAGGACTGAAGCTTGTGGGAAAGGTTAGTTATTTATATGGATGGTGTGAACATCCATAAATAGATAATTAGATAGGATAGAACAGTTTCATAACAGATCTATAACCTCATGCTTGAGGACACAAGCCAGCCACTAGCTGGGAACAAACACTGTGTTCAGATCTCCCAGGATATTAGATTATGACTTTCCTGCTCAGGCTTTTTCCTCCTCTGTGCAGAAATGTCTGCTGGCATAGGCACAGGTCTACATGGTCCATGTTTTGTCCTGGGCCACAGATTCTTCAGTGGGAACAGGAGCTCAGGCTCCTGCAAGCACAAAGTAGCCTCAAGATCTGTATGCATCAGAGTTTCTCCATTTAATAGATGTTTTTGCCCCAGATCCATGCAAGATACAAGAACCATTTTCCTTGGAATTGGTATTTTCCTGTGATCACGTGTGTCAGTTGGTGGCATGGTCCATGACTTAGGAAAACCTAATCTTCCAAACTACCGATTTTGTTTGTTCACAGTTCTTGCAGTTTTTGTGCTGATGACACCGTAACCCAAGGGGCTGCTTTTGTTTTAATGCATACAGGAGAGCATATGATGGAGGATGAGCTGGCACTGTGTCTGTCTGCCCTGCTAGGAAGGCATCCAATGGGAGGAAGATCTGACCTGGATGTACGTGATCCCTCAGGTATGAGATCAGCATTCTGCAGTGCACAGAGGCAGGACTGATTCAATTCCCAAACAAAATGATTTAAATTACAAGCTCATTACCCTGTTAGGCCAAGAGCTGTCAAAAACACTCAGATTTGCAAGAACAGATATAGACCCATATGTTGTGCTTCATCCATGCAACAGTTGTATGGGTGTACCTAAAAATAAGTGAACAACACAATGTAACTGGAACCTGACAGGGTAACATTGCTGTTTATCTGCTGGATTGAAAACGGAATTGCAAACGCACAGTGGAAGGTTTACACGCCAAAGGCAAAAAGAAATTCTACCGCATGCAAATTACAGCATTGATTTCATCCAAGCAGCAGTACACATTGTAACAGATTGACCACATTTGTGTACCTTTCATGTGCTAGCCCACGCCAGCCTAGAACAGGAACCCTTATACTGCACACACACAGTGCAGCCCCTGCATGCTTTTGGGATCACAGGATTTCATCAGACAATGGAGTACAGTAGCTGTCTTCAGTCCCTTGACTCTTCTGAGGTGTTGGTATCCACTGCAAAGTGAGACAGCCCACAGACTTGACAGTGTTTCCCTGATAATGTGTGATGTACTAAGCTAGTAAAGCAGTACTTAGTGATTACTGCATACATTGCTAAAAGCATTCAATTCACTTATTGCTACTTATAAGTTTTGCTGTTCTGGAATGCCATTTTTACACCACTCTCGTGTGTCTCGTGTTGTTGCCATTACTGCTTTCCAGGTGCAGCAGCTTTGATGGAAGAAGAAATTCCAGAGCAAATCACAGCAGAGAGATTCACTGCCGGCATTCTTGGCCTATCCATTGCTGAGCCAGAAAAAAGAACAGTAAACTGAGATGGATAATTCATCTGTGAAGACTCAGAATTGTAGCTGCCACTGTTTTCTACTCTTTCTACTTTCCAAACTCCTCATGTACCTGTGAAATATATATTATATGCTTATTAAAAACTGTTGCGTAGCTTCAGATTATTCAAACTGCAGGCTAACCCCCTGTTTAGCACATGCCACAAGCCTATGGGAACAAATCTATTTCCCAATTGTACGTGCTCCTAATACTGCACCCTCTGTTCTGACACAGCAGAAGGTTTTCATTTGGAAATATCTTTAGAAGCATTTCTGCTGCCAGGGCATGGCCCACACTTCCAGTGCCCCCTTCCACAGAACTGGCTGAAACGTGGCCTGGGTAAACAAGTTGCTTTCCAGAAAGGATCTTTGCAGAAAGCTGCATGAAAGCTCCGTTTCTAAAGACCTCTACCTGAGTTCACTGAGCCTTTGGAGAACATGGGTTTGTAGAGCATGGCACAGTGATTGGTACGCTGTCTTTTTGCATGGATCACCCCTATCCCCAGCTAGAGCCTTCTTAGTATTCTTTTCAGGTGGGCTTTATACCAGATGCAGTCTGTTTCCATTATGCAAAGGGGGTATTTATTTGTGAAACCCGACAGCAAAAAAAACTGTACAGAAGTATTGATTATATACACTGGTAAATGTTCTGTGCAAAATGCTTGGATAGGTATGAACAGATTTGTAACTACGTGGACAAAGTTGCCAGCAAGAACACTGTGATATACATTCAAACCAGTTTTCTATTTTGGCCTTTAAAACTTTGTTTTCCTTTCTGCAGCAGCTCCAATTAGCAGCGTAATACCAATGGGACAGCATCTTACGGTGTTTGTATAAACAGCATAATGAGGCTGACACAAGTTGCCGTGGAAAGATCAGTGAAGTGCTGTTGAACACGCTTCCTTCTTTACATCATCCTCAGCATCAATTTGAATAATAATGCGGGCCCTCCAGAAGCGTTCCTCTCAGTGGCAATGTTTTTTAAACAGAGATCGTTGCTCCGCGCTCTGGAAGCGTCTGTGGTCGTGCAATTAGCACGGGGAGGTGTGTGCTGGTTTATGAGGAGGTCCAGCAGCACGGTGCTCGGTACCGGGGGTCTGAGATGCGTATCTGTGTCAGGAGGAGAGGTCGCGTGGGGGAGCAGCTGAAGGTCGTGGCTTTGCTCGGCATGGAGGGGGCCGAGGGGAGGCTGAGGGGAGGCTGCGTGGCGGCCTGTGGCTCCTCATAGAGGAGCAGAGCGGCAGGTGTTCGGCTCCAGCTGGGGACCGACGACCCAACCTGAGGTAAACAGCGCGGGGAGGGCGGCTAGCGGGAAAAGGTTCTGCACCAGAGGGCACACAGCGGGCTCCCCAGGGCGCGGCCCCGAAGCGCTGGAGATCAGGGACAGTTCGGACAACGCTCTGAGGTACAGGGGCTGACTTTGGGCTGTTCCTGTGTACAGCCTGGGGCTGGACTCGATGATCTACAGAGTGCCTTTCAACTCGGGGTGTTCTACGGCCCTACGGCTGTATCGCTGCTCGCGTTCTCACAGAAACAGCCGGCATCACTTGAGGCAGCTGAGAAACCCGACAGCCACCGCGTGTCGCGGAGCCGCGAGCGTCCCATCCCGCGCAGATGTTTGGCTTCGCAGGAAACCCTTCGTCCTCCGCCAACAAAGCCGCCGTCCGCCGCCATCGGCGGATCTCCTCGCGGCGCCCCTCCCGCCTCGCGCGCGCGCGGGCTGCCGGCGGCGGAGCGGGCTGCGCGTGCGCAGCGTGCGGGCCCCGGCGGGCGGGCGGAGCCGAGCGGCGCCGAGCGGAGCCGAGCGGCGCCGAAGCGAGCCGAGCCGTGGGAGCATTGTGCGTGCGGGCAGGACGGAGGGACGGACGCCGCGAGCCGCGCCGAGCGCCGCATTCCCGCCGCCGAGGCCGCCGCCCTGCCCCTCCCCTCCCTCCCCGAAGCCCCAGCAGCATGTCGGGCCGGTCGGTGCGGGCCGAGACCCGGAGCCGGGCGAAGGATGATATCAAGCGGGTGATGGCGGCCATCGAGAAAGTGCGCAAATGGTGAGCGGGCCGCGCCGCGCCGGGACCCCGCGCCGCTCCCCTTCCTCTCCCCAGCGCCCCGCGGGGGCCCGAGCCCGGCGGGCGGCCGCGGGGGGCGGGGAGCGGCGGCACCCAGAAGCCATTTCGCCGCTGCCCGTCACTCGGAGGCGGCGGCGGCGTGAGGGCGAGAGGCGGCTCCATTGTGCGGCCGACCCCCGGCCCGGAGCCCGCATCGCCCCGGAGCCCCTCGGCCGGGCTGTGCGCGGAGGGCTCCGTGCGGCGCTGCTCCTCGGGAGCGTCTTTCTTCTCAAAGAGCGTTCCGAATCCGGCTGTGAAACTCCACCAGCCCGCTCTTAATTCCCACGTATCCCTTAACCCCGCAACTTTCCGAGCTGTGCGTTAAGCCAACAACTTCGCGAGGTTTGTGGAGCTTCGCGGGCGCCTCCCCGCGTAACGCCGTGCGGCCGCGACCCCGAGCGAAGCAGGAGAGGGAATACGTGCCGCCTGGTTTGTCCTGTTGTGTGTTTAAAGGCTGGAGCGGCACTTTCCTTAGGCCTGCAGCGTGTTTGGGCATTTTCTCCTTTTGTCTTTTTTTTTTTTTTTTCTCCTGCTCGTATCGTGGGAATCAGCACGAGGTGTTGGAACGATGTGCTCGCACTGTTGTTGCGGTGTTTCCAGGTGGGATAAGGAGCTGTGCCACCCTGGCCCTCTTTCTCCCACTGAGTTGGAGTCTTTGTGTCTTTTGTGTGGAGCTTTGAAAGCGTTTAAATGTTTGAAACCCATAGAGAGCCTTGTCTTTCTGTGACAAAATAAGGAGTGTTTCTGTTACCGTCACAGACGCCGCTTAGGTTTTGTTAAAAATAACAGAAATAGGCATGCTTGCTTTTTCTGGAGGCACGGATTTGTTGCTTCTTGAGCACAATTATGGGCCAGTTGGCCAGAGCTGCACAAAGGACAGAACGTGTGCCTGATAATGCCGGGCACGGGATGGGGATTTCAGAGAATCCACCCGTTGTGTATGGAGCCGAGCAGCCCGGCAGTGCAGTTCGTGTTCAGGAACTCTCTTCTGCTTGCTGCTGTTTTTAAGAGCTGTTTGTTTAATGACGGGTCAGCTTCAAAGGGTTGGAACCGCGTGCAGTGATGAGACGGTGCTTCTGATCACACAGCCACGTTGTTGGCTGTGTGGGACTGTACTATTTTGGATGTAGGTATTTCATTCATGAGCGCAGCTTACCTCCTTTGAGTCCTGGTTTGTGGATGTTGGAGAGGGGCAGAAGCAGGAGTTGATCATTCAAAAGATTTGTCTGGTTCTTTTTCCCTCGGTGAGGGCACTCTGCCATCAAGTCAGTTGCTACGGCTTCACCTGTGAAACAAATCTTATGGCACTGATAGATTTTGTATGCTTTAACCCTCACCAGAACCACCTTGCTTTAAGCATGAGTGTCTAAGCTTTGGGATTGTCTGGGCTGTGTTGGGTGAGGAAGAATTGTCTTGGCCCACAAATAAAAAATGTGTATAAGTATGTATGTAAGTAACAAAACTTATTTTTATTAAAACTTTAAAGAGGGCAGCGAAACCATGAAACTAATAGATTGGACAAGTGTGCAGTTTCAAGGGTTACTGCACAGAATCATGCAACTATCAATCTATAAATCTATCTATCAATTTCTTCTCCTTATGGTTAGAAGTATTCATGTGGCTTTTTGTGTGTGCATCTCACAAGTATCTCCTTGAACCATTTTTCCTATTTTTTAAGGCAGTCATGGATTGATGGTGAATCTCATGATTCCCTCCCACCTGCAGTCAAGAACAGTGGGGAAATTAGCCAGTATTCTGTGGTTTAAGAACGCTTGTGTTTTGAGAAGATTTGTGCTGTGAAACTGAACTTTATGCACCAGGAATTCTTGCGTCTTGAGAGGAGCCACATAGGCAATTTCAAGTGTGCATTTTCATTTGCTTAATGGGAGCAATTTGTTGCCATCCACGGCTCTTCTGTGGAGATGCAGCCGCTGAAGATTAAAATACTTTGCATACAACAGAATTTTCTGGGACACGAGCACTTGGAGTGCTGCATTTCTGAACCAAACAGGAGCAGAGTCAGGTCGTGCACACTGTGAATGTTGAATGGCTCCAGTGCGTGCTGCCCTGCTTTATTGATGTGGGAAGGCAGCCTTGCTTTGCAGTGCTGCTGTGTGCTCCTGTTGCCACATCTCCATATGGGCACGTGGGAAATTGCTTTCCATCAGGGCAGACTCCATTCCTTGGAAAATACATATTGCATTCTTAGACAGTGTGCCCTACATTGCTTGTCTTCACGTGTTTGTAGGGAGCCTGGTGCTTCTGGTGTTACTGCAGCTTGGCTGAGAGTAGTAAACAGTGAAGTTGTTAGGATTTTATCTTGAGATTAATGCAGCCTTATCTCCTTTGTTTAAACCACTCCCGTGAATGAGCTTCTATTTTAGAAAACATCTAGCACGTGTCTTGCAGGATACATGGTTGTGTTGCATTTATGTGGCAGCAGCGTTAAATCTTCATAACCGAGAGTTTTTGAACTTTCTTTTTAACCATACTTACTTTTCTTTCAGTCTAGCTGGAAGAAAAACTAAGAATAAATGTAGTGATGTGAGATGTAAAAGGTACAGGGTTATTTGTGTTTTAAAGGTTGATAGGTATGTGCAGATTCTAAATAGTTCTCAACAAGAGAGGGGCAAAAAGTACTGTGCCCTCAGCTAGCATAGGAAAGCAGTGGAAATGCTCTCACAGATGCTGGATTTATTAAATGAAATAAAGCACAGTTTTTTGCAGAAGGAAGTGTGATGTAGCAGGCAAGTACTGGAGTGCTGAACTTTGGGACAGATGCACAAACGTTTCTGCCCCAATTTGGCTGCTGGGAATAGGGATCCTGGTCGAGAGAATGCAGCAGGATGAGGAAAACTCAGTGCACTGACTTGTCATCGACTTGCAGGATCTTTGCATAAGTAATTTGGCCATTTTCTATCTCATTTATCGAAGCTTTACATCATGTCTTAAAGAAGAGATGAGCTTGGACCACTGCTGGAAGTAGTATC